ATGGATCTGTTCAGCCTGTGTTCATAGGGTTTGCTTTGTGAAATTCTTCAGTATCTTTGCAACTCTCCTCAGATGCCCAGAACTAAAAATAGGCAGCTAAATGAGGTCATACCAGTGCTGAGTAGATCTGTACAATAATTTATTGAGTCTTAGAAAACAGTGTTCCGGTTGAATCCACCAAATATGTCAGTGGCCTTTTAAGCTATAGCATCACATCTACAGTGAGATCCAGTTCACTGTTTGCAAAGCTAGAGAGCCTGTGTTCCTGCAGCCCAGGTAGAGATACAAGCCCTAAATCTTCTACAGAAAAGTGACCTAAATGGCTTATGAGATTCGTAATGGGATATGCCACCTTCAGGTTACAATAGTTCACCAGTTCAGCTAAGGCACCAGTGTGCTATTACAATACCATTTAAAAATGATTCAGTAGCAAATATAAACAAAAAACACACCACCTACATTAGTTTGTAACTGAGTTTCTACATCTGGCAATTCTTCATACTAATGTTTACACAATGAACACGTGGTATATTTATTCAAAGTTTTGCATCAAGACACATTCTGAAATTTGTGTAAATAAAGCAGTCCAGCTTGGTATCTGTTTATTCTTTATGACAAATTTGTCCTGTGGGAGGTTTCTTTCTATCAGTTTGTACGATGCCTATACAGCCAGTTCTAAAATGAAATCCATGGCAGGGGTTGGACTAGATAACTAGAGTTGGGTACAACTCTACAATTCCATTACATGAGATGGCTCAAGGAAGAGGATGAAGAGGATGCATAGCATTTTTAAAGTTTATTTAGGCTGCATTAGCTAAGCCTCTGTTTACAGAATTTTGACAGAGTTTCCAATTGCTATGTTTACTGATTGATTGCCTACCTTTCACCATGCTGTCTCAAGGCAGGTACATACAGCTAAAAACAAGCAAGCAAGCCATATAATAACACTAAACCATCAATTAGACTGTATCAAACAGCAAGCAAAACCAGCAGGTTTGCATTCTATTTTCCATATTTTGGCTTAGACACACAATTCTTAAAACAACAAAGAGTCATGTGGCAAGATTCTTTATTGTTTTTGCTGCAACCAACTAACACAACTGGTCCCTCTGCAAATTCTTATTGTGTGTTTGCATCCCATCTTAGCCATATACTTAACCAGCACAAAACTTTTACTTTATTAATAGCAACCTTGTACTTGGTGTCACTCCAGAATGCCAAGAAACCAAAAATAAGTGCAGTTTTGAAAGTTTCAATCCATCATACAAAAGGTGCCCAATTGTATCCACAGACACCACTGATCTCAGGAACAGTACTGCAAAATTTGGGTTGCCATATTTCAAAAAGTGAAAATCGGCACACAAAAACTGTTGAGCTTTTCTAGTTTTGCCCCAAATTATGGAGCTTTTTTGCATATGGATTTTCCCACACATTTCAGCTATTTCTACCCAGGCGCTGTTTACAAGGGCTAAATGTCCAGGAAATTCCAGACGTATAGCAACCCAAGGTTACGTTATCTTACGAGGTGTCAAAATGTACAGAAAACAGCTTTCGAAAATATTTAGCAGATTGGTAACCAATGGATTGCTTCCCAAATATATCATAAATTGAAAACAATACCAAGTTAGGGTTTGGACAGTTAGCCTAGATAGCTAGTTTAAGGCTGCAGTCCTAAACCTGCTTCTTTGTGACTAAGCCCAACCATGTAGCATTACAACGTTAAGGACAAGCCAGGCCTGTGATCAACACATGGCATCCCTGTCTGGGGCTTTGTGCCACAGCAAGGCCCATGACTTGCTGAAGCCAGCCCTTTGGTCCACTTTCAAACCATTTCCTCCCCAGTGGGCAGTGGCACAGTCAGGAGCCCCAAATTTAATTTCCCCAATGCAGTGTTTCTCTACTTTACCAAGGGCATCATGGGAAATTTATATGGCAGCTGCCGAACTGCCACTAGGGATACCCAACGCTGACTAGAATAATGTTGTCTACTGCTGCAACTAGGTTAGCCTGCTGGATCATTTGCCTCTGGTGTCAAGCTAAGCTGAGCAGTCTTGGATAGCATGCACCTTGACTTGAGCAGGTTGGGGAAGCACCAGTTCCTGCTCCATCTTAGGCAACAAAAGGTATTGGGCCAAGCCTTTACATAATGTTAGACAGCTACTAATGCCAAAACCTGAAATTTTTTAAGCTATACAACAGAGGCTCTGGATATGGCAAAGGCAGATAATCTCCCATAACAAGTGGGACCTACAGCAAAATATTGCAATGTAATCTCACCTTCTAATAGGAGTGGTCCTGTTTAAGATTTTATATATATAGAATACATATTGGGTTGAGATGACAATGTATCTTAGCACAGCATTATCTATTGATAAGGTAAGATACATTGTCATGGACTGCTGAGTAAAATTACAGTGTGAAAAACTGAATCAGGAATAATTTGATGTGCACTGCAATATAATCATATCTACTTGAAAGCAAGTCCCATTATACTCTTTGGGACTTACTCACTAGTAAGTGTGCTTATTAAGACTGCAGCCTTAGCCAAGTATTGTCTTTAGACAAAGCCTGTGAAGATTTATACTTGTATTATCTATCTCAATATTCAATAATCTGTACTCTCAATAAACTCATGTAAAGATGATCACCTGCAATATCTGCGGAATTTGTACTCTGTGGAGAACTTTACAGCAGCTTAAACCTTTTACGGAGAGATACACAGCAATTTTTACAGACAGCAGAAATAGCTCCCATTGCTGGCAGAGCTCAGCCAGATTTGGAAAACAAATTAAGACTTTGCTTTTCAGGTGTGTCAAGCTGAACCTCTTAGCATTATTGAATAAATCTTAAACTTCTTTTACAGGGCATATTGTTCTTCACACAAAACTTACTCTGGTTTTAAAATAAAATATAATCTGGAAGGGATTTTCAGGTGTATCAGATACCACAGATTTCTGCAAGGTGCATAGGATTTAAAAGTACAGCACATATTCTACCCCTCTAATAATGCAAGCTAAATATATTACTCCAAAAAACACAGAAGCAACAGAGCAATAATAATAAGTTGGCATAGCTACATTTCTGAAAATAGATTTTTCTAAAATACTGCCTATGAATTATTGGGGAGATTGCTACCAAAATGCCAAGAATAAGTATCAGGTTAATCTACAAAAGAAAAAAGGTAGTCTCTAATAAAAGAAGTGAGCAATGGTTTAATTTTGCTTCAGCCTGAGCTTGCTGAGTTTTGACGCCACGCTGCTGTATTGTAAAGACTGTAAATATTAAGTTAATGGGGGAGGGATTAGTTGGATCCCCAGGACCATCAGCAGGAAACTGAAGAGTTGTAAGGTTCAATAATATACAGCACAATCCTATACAGAAATAAAACAGTGATATCAGAAAGGTTTAATCCCAGGTCAAAGTGCTTGCAGCTGGAACCTGTAAAATTTGTTAACTCCATGGCACAGAACCACAATGCTGACCTTGATGCCATTGAAACACTTTCACACTGGCCAGATCCATCTGTAATGCAAGTTGTATCCAATATACAATTACATCATGGGCAGGGCTGGAACTAGGCTTGATAAGGCCCTAAGCTACTGAAGGTAATGGGGCCCTTTATATGTCCAGCTGTCCTTTGTCAACAACAAATTGTCACTGCTTTTTGTGTTGAATATATGCTATATGGTAATTTATGGACCCAATAGGTATCTAAAGCCATTTGTACATAACAAAATATGTACCGTATTTTATCAAAGTAATGGTTGAACTGAAATACAATTAAGTATATTAATAGTGAAATAATTATTAAGCTCTAACTGTATGTAGGTTTTATTTTATTTGTTTAGCATCTTATATTTTGGAAAATGTACATCCAGTGTGGTTTTTTTCTTTAAATTTTTTTGGGGGCCCCAAGAGAGTGGGGCCCTAAGCTATAGCTTGTTTAGCTTATATGTAAATCCAGCACTGATCATGGGACCCGGGTAATTGTTCCTTAGCACAACTCTAACATATACAAATCCAACCTGCCCATTTGCATTACTACAGCACAGATATTTCAAGCACCTAAACAATTTATTGACAAATTGTTGCCACCTCACTCAGAAGTTTACAGGTATTTGACCAAGGAATTGTCTAGGATGCAAGTCACACACATAAAAAAGGGACAAGGATGGAAACAGAGGAATGAACCCACAGTAGTTTTGAATGCTATTCTTTATTAGGATGGGCTGCCTTCCTATGATCATAGAATCATAGAGTTGGAAGGGACCCTGAGGATCATCTTGTCCAACCACCTGCAATGCAGAAATATACAGCTATCCTGTATCGGGAACGAACCTGCTACCTTGGTATTACCATTCTAACCAACTGATGCTGTCAATTTTACATCCATGATCAGTATTGGGATGACGGCTTCTGGATGTTTATAGAACTGAAGTACAGCACAAGGCCAGGTGAAACTTACCACCTGCAAATGTCCTAATATATTATTTGTTCTGGACTTGCATATAAAGCTCACCCTTCTGAGCTGAAAGACAGCCTGTGTAGGAGAATCCTTACTCCCCATTGCAATATGATATAACCTGTTGGTTTCCAACCTACCCTTGATGGTTTACACCAGTTCAAGGTGAGTAAAGATCCATTTTGGGCAGCTGCCTTTTTACTATATACGGTAAGCCCACAACTTACATGCACATTCAGCTTTACATGCTTGGCAAATTTAAAAAAGGGAAAAAATAAAAAGGAGCAAATATCTGAGAAAAAGACTTTGGCAATACCACCCGCCATTGAACCCAATGTGTTTTGACTATATGAGATTTTGGCTTTAGGCACGATTGTGGGCTTACTGTATTCTCCCATAGGTATTGTTGTGTGACAAAAAAAGGTATACATTCGGGAGGCAGATCAAACGCATTATGAGCTAATTTTAAGGTGACTTTACCTTCTTCCTTTGAGACAGAGGCATGCATGCATGCATTCATTCATACATGCAAGCACACCTCAAAGAGATCTTGGGCTTTCTGTGACGGCCATCGCCATTGTGCGAAGGGTATCACGGGGCATTGCTACTCTTTCCCACGCTGCAATTCTTGATCACACCTTTTACCGTTGGATTTGCTCCTGTGCCAGTCCAAAGACGAGCAGAGAGAGAGAGAGAACAAGCAAACCCACACTGATCCTCGTTTCCACCTTGCCAAAGCCAGGAGCAAGCAAGCAAGCCTCGTATTTGCATAGCTTCTGCTGGGTTTGATCTTCGAAATCTACCTCCGGATGGGGACGAATCAATCTCTCTCTCTCACACACACACACTCACAAACGCACACACGAAAAGCCGCCTCTAAAGTCAACCTGAAGCAACCCTTCGGGCTGTAAAGCAGCCACGTGGAGCCTTTGCTTCTGGGGGTGGTGGTGGCGGCGGCGGCGACTTCCTGCTTCATTTTAGCAAGCTGGGCTGAACATTAGCAAGGAAGAAGAGAGCGGTGGAAAAAAAGGGGGGGGAGTGAAGACTCAACACGGGAGATACAAAGAGAACAGGAAAAACCAGAAAGCGGGGCGTGTTGGAGGGGGAGAGGAAAAAGAGGTTCTTTAAAAAAAAGAAAAAGTTTTTTGGGTTTGCAAGGAGAGAGCAGAGCGAGCAGCAGGAGTCGAGGAAGGAGAGGAGGAGGCGGCGGCGGCGGCAGCAGCAGCAGCTCGAAAAAGACTGAGGGGAGGAGTGAGGAGGAGAAGCGAAGCTGCAGGGAGGGAGCGCGAGTACGAGCAAGGCTCGGCGCCAGGCGCCTGCTGCCTCGGAGAGAGAAAGAGAGAAGGAGAAAGGCGGCAGTACAGTAGTGAAAGAGGGAGGAGGAGGAGGAGGGGAGGGAGGGAAGCCACGCAGAGCGCAGCTCGGCACAAGTGAGGAGCAACAACAGCAGTCGCCGGGAGGGGGGTGGGAACGGCAGCGAGGAGCCCGGCGGCTTCGGCGGCGGCTTCGGGGAGCTCGTCGGGGGGCTGGCGCTGAGGATGCGGCTGAAGCTGGGCTTCCTCTTGCGCGCGGTGCTGCTGCTCGGCTCCTTCCTGGGGCTGCTGCTGCTCTGGTCGTCGCTCTCGCCCCGCGCCGAAGACCCCAGCCCGGGGGACAGGATCCGGGTGAGTCGCTGCTTCCCGGCCGAGGGGGCGGGCGAGCGGACCCCCAACCCCCGGCGGCCCTTCTTCCCTCGCTGCCTGCCGCCCGGGCCGAAGCCCTCTTTCTCGCTGCCTGTGTGCCTTCCTCTTCAGCCTGGGCCGGCGGGCCGGGAGGGGGCGGCGGCGGCGGCGGCTGTCCCTGCCCAGGCTGAGGCCTGTGGCGTTGGCGAGGCCTGAGAAAGGGGGACTCGGGCGGCTTCGGACGGGCGGTCTGCCGTAAGCCGCGGGCGCCCCCTCGCCGCCTGCTGGTAGGGGAAGAGCTGCCTGGCGCCGGCTCCCCAAGCAGGTGGGCAGGCGGCGGCACACGCCGTAAGTTAGTCCCGGCTCCTTCAGGTGCGCTGCCGCTTCGCCCCAGACCTTTGACCTCTCAATTGCGCTTAATTGCGCCCTCCTGTGTGAGCTGGTTGTGGGGAGGCGAGCGGTGAACTCTGGCTGGGACTGGCGCCCTAACTGCTTCGCCCACTCGCAGTAGAAGGTGGCTGGGGCGAGATGTGGGCATTTCTATAGGTCTAGGAGTGTGTACTGTTTGCCCATGGAGTAGGGTGGTGGTGGTGGTGGTGGAGGTCCGGTTTTCACATTAATGTCTACTTTATATTCTGTTTTCTCTGTGTTTATTTTACTCCCCAAAAGATGCATAATCCCGATAACTATCACGGATTAGGGGCTCCACTATAACTACCGCAAGGATAGTTGAAACTTCCTGGACCAACTGTGGTATGAGGCCCTGTGTAAATGCCATACCTGGCAGATAAGAGGAACAGAACATGGCATGCATCAGTAGCTCATTTAAACCAGGTCATCTCACCTGCTTGTGTACTTGCAGCATGTTGGGAATTTGAACTCAGCAGGTGTTATGTTGGCATCCAACACTGCCAGCTGGCAGTCCAGTCCTGTGCACTTGTTCAGAAGTCTACATGAGTTCAAGGGGACTTTTAAGTGTTTGTGTGCAGTTGTAGTGATTGAGAGCCTGGTCCAAATGAGATAAGGCAGATGTGCAAAGCTTCACAGCTAAGTTCTTCTCGTGTGGTGTCACGTTTAAACGGAGCCTGCGTAAGCAGGCCTGGTGGTGTTAAGTAGCAGTGAATATAAATTTTGTAATGCCAACACTGCAGAGTTGCTACTCATTTTACAAGTCCTGCATCTGTTCCTTTTATTGCTGCCGAAACCAGGAAAAAGAAAAGCTAGTGAAGCTTATTGCAGTGTGTTTTTCAAAGTCAGAAAAAGTTCCACGGCTGAATTTCTGTGTGTTGGGTTGCTGTTAAAGGCATACAGTAAGGGCCATAAAACAAGATAGTAACCATGTTGAAGTTCGGGTAATGTTGTAGATGCAGTTCTCTCCTTACATTGTGACTTTGCATGATATGGTTGAAGAAAATTTTCCTTCTTGAATCAAGTAGTAGAAGCAGTGCACTTCCTTAACTGCTTGGTTATTTCCACATCAGCTAGATTTAGCCTTCTTCACATTAGTTACTAGGTGGCAGTGTGTGTTTATTTTTAAACTTAATGGCAAGGCGCTGACTCAAGTACACGCAGTCAACATAATTAACACAACATTTAACTGCTAATGGTATACACTCTCATACATCAGCCCCAAGGTTGCTTTCCAGCACCTCTAGAATGTGCTCCCTCTGGAAATGTATATAAGTGCCCAAGTGTAGAAGGGTTCTGTAAATCATCACTTTCTCTTGTCTGACCTTTTCCCGATTGACTCCTTAATGATTTAAGCTTGCTTTGTTTTCAGATTAGTGTATAATTTCTCAGTGAAGACTTATATTTAACTGTATCATAAACCTAGAGCAGAAATACAGATTTAATAACACACGCACATTAGTAGCACATCATTTATGAGAATATTGGAGCAACCATACATGTGCAGTGCTCTGATGCCACATGAGCCACAATGCTTTTGACCTTGTATTGTGAGGCATTTCATTTTCAATAAACAGTTCTTCCTGAAGTGCCAGCTGTGGAGAATTTCCTTCCACCAACAAAATATTCTAGTTCAGGGATAGCCAAAGTAGTGCCCTCCTGATGATGATGGATTTGAAATTGCTTTGCTAGTGGGGAGAGGAAATTCAATAACAGGTCTTTCTCTGGCATTGGAGCTGCTCAAGGGACCATAGGACTGCAGGGCCCATCTTTTTATTTGCTCTTTGACTTATAGTGGATGAATTTTCAAGCTTTTGACTAATGAGATCTGCAAACTTACCTGAAAACTCAGAGTCATAGGATTCTAAAAACTAAAGTTTCATAGGCCACATTTGTTTGAGCAGTGACTTTAGTTTTACAAACTCCTGTACTGTTTTTGCTGGCAGAAGAATTCCAGTGAGGAGGTACTTCCATTGCCTCATTATTCAGACTGAAGGTGCTAAGGGGCAGAAGAAAAACCTAAGGCTTTCTGCATATGCTCTTGCACTCATATTTTGCCTCACTGCCTGTTAGTCCCTAAAGAAGTACTTAGTGGTGTTTAGTTTTGTTTGCTTGAGTGAACCCAGCCGGATATTTCTGCAAATGACAGTGCTGCATTTACAGCATAGAACAGTTAAAGTGAGGTCACACTTAATGAGCTCTAGGGCTGAAGTAAGTATGGAAATTGGTTTCTAAAGAAGATTGCATTCAAAAATTTATAAGTGCCATTGTTTATCATGTACTGTTCCTTAATGCAACAATTTGGACATTAAATGTAATTTTCACAACCCTTAACATCATAGATCAGTGGAATTTTTAAAAAATTGGGTATGGGTCCTCAATATAAACATGTTCTTGCTTTTAAAGCCAGTAAATGTTCTGACTTTCTGTTTTCAAAACGTTAAAGGCTCCTTTTAACCATTGCAAAAACCATGATCTTTATAAAGTTCTGTCTTTATAATACTGAAAGACCTATAGGGTAGAGAGCAAGGGCTTGAATTGCCAGGCTTCTGTCTTCTTTGCTCTGTGCCAGACTGCACTGTGATACCTCAGAAGTCAAATGGAATCCGTTCCAGAGGCCGTTCGACTTCCAAAATGTTCAGAAGCCGCGTCAGACATTCGGGTTCCAAATAAGGTTCGCAAACCGGAACACTCACTTCCAGGTTTGGAGCATTCGGGAGCCAAAATGTTCAACTCTCAAGGTGTTCAGGATCCAAGGTGCGACTGTATAAAGTGCAGCAGGACAGTGAAAGGCGTATAGGAACATAGGAAGCTGCCTTATATTGAGTCAGGCCAAGTAGTCCATCTACCTCAGTATTTTCTGCACAGACTGGCAGCAGCTGTCCAGGGTTTAAGACTGCTGTATTTTCCCCAGCCCTACCTGGAGATGCCAAGGATTGAACCTGGACCCTCTGCATGTATGAATGTTACAAAAACTATAATTTGAACATTCTGCAGAGAAACTTCCTTTTATTGTTGTTGATTGTAGTTGCAATCCCACACAATAGGGTTTTAGCCAAATACTGGACTGTAGTCTGTGCTGGACTATAGACTTTGTGTAAAGAAGCATTCAGTGCTACAAGACTGTTTTCTAAAAAATAATTGTTTAGCAGTGAACTGTCTGCTTTTGGGGCAGTGTGCCATGAAATTGGTTTACATGTAGTTCACTGAAAAAATAACATCCTCACCAATGTGTTATACATATGGACAGAGCACAGATTGTTAAAGTGAGAGGTGCAATTCCAGCTGTATATGGAAAATATTGCTGATAGAATATGAAAAAATGGAAGGAAGAACAAGCCTCAAACAGGGCCATAAATCACAGCTCTCTGACACTTGTATGGCTTGTGAAATCCTGGACAGCTGAATACCTTGGTTGCAGAATTTCCTCTTAAACATGTGTTGCCGGTAGCTTGTAAAAAATAGTATTCTGTGAGGCCAGGCCAAAGAAACAGATTTGCAGGTTCAACAACTCTGTGAACTTTTATAGAGAATCTCTGTAGTTTAGAATCTATATTAAACTAAGCCAGTTCATTCTAAGCAAGAAATGAGCTATTTCACCATAGTGACTGGATGTTGTAGGCACTGCCTCAGGTAAGTTAGGGTTCAGAGTAGAAAATGTCTTTTAAAATAAAATTGCAAGTTGTGAGAACACGGAAAGGAAGAATAATAAAGCAGCTACCACATTAAAAGGCTGATGCTGTTGATCCCCCTAATCGTGCTGTTAAGGGGGATTGTGGAAGGGCTGCTGAAGGGGAGAGGGTTTGGCATAAGGAAACTCCAGCATGTTTTGTGCATGAATTCATGTTTCAAACCCTAGGGGATCTTGCTTTATCTCTGTTCCCCTCAGTGTGAAGATCTGTTCCTGTAAACTCATGACATTTCCATTTAAAGTAGCTGAAATCTGTTTCTATAATAGGGCTTATTAAAAGTGTTAGTAAGTTGTACTGTGGGGGGGGGGAGAGAAATTATGATCTCTGCCAATGATATTAAGTAGGTGTAATGTCTTCTGAGTAAAAAGTGTTTCTCTGAAAGTAAGCTTATGACTGGTGCTCGGGGCAAAGTGAATGTTACCATGGGAATTTCATATTTGGAGTTCCCCACAGATTTTTCCCTTTTAAAAAAATCAAAAAGGTGCAAAGAAGTAAAAGGTAATTTCATCTCTGTGTGTTAACCCTTTGCCCCCTTAGTGATTCTTTGACTTAATTCCCCTTCTACTCTAAAGCTGCATAAAATCTAGGTTGGCTCCTGCCTCCTTTATGGGTGACTAGCAAAAATGGCTTCTTTAGGATCAGTCAGAGAAATTTTTGCAAACTGAAAAAAAGAATTGGCCCTATTTTTCTTGAAGGTAGATCATGAGCCATGAAAGGTGTATGATAGATATGTGTGGGCAGACAAGGTGCTAAGCATTTTTACGGAATTATTTGCAAGTCTAGAATGAGGTTTATTAGAGGTGTAAGGTAATATATGCTAATTTATGTCCATACACTACACATTATAGAGAAGAAAATGCAGGATTGTAGTATTTTCATAAGTGTAATATTTGCTATAACGGCCTTCAGTATTCATGACATTTTCTCTGTAAAAGTGATCTGTCAGCTAAAAACCGAGTGGTATGGGGTGGTATACTTTGGGGGATGATAACACTGATTATGAAACACTGAAAAGTCTTTTTAACTTCAGCATCAAGGCTGTAATAAATTTGAGTGCCAGGCAGAAAAGCAGCAGGGTTACTGATGTGTTTCCTTGAATGCACACTTTCAGCTTCATTCAAGCAGTGAAAGCCATATCGGGTCATTTGTAAGAAGTCTCGTGTGACAACTACTCATAGCTGAGATTTCTTTTTTCTTACAAAACCTGTAAGAACAGGTCATAAATGAGAAGCAGTCCTTATGTATTTTTTTCCTGATTACTTATAGGGCGTATACATCATTGCCTTCTGGTCGCTTGAATAATTTGATGTAGCCATAGGCTGAAAAACTCTCCTCATTTCTTAGAAGGGTGGTAGCATTGGATTGTCCACACCAAATTCTCAAATGGATTAGCCATGGTTGGCAACTAGTTTTCAGGAGGTCCAGCTGCCCCTTTGGCACATGTCTGTCCTTTCTCTCAGCCTCCTTGGAAGTGAATCTGGACATGGGAGGAAAAGAGGAAAAGGAAGGACAAAGAACGTTATGTCATTAAACTAAATTCCAGGGTGGATTAAAATCTTTTCTTAAAAAAAAGAGGAATGATGAGATTGCCTTTAAATAATCAGGTTAATACTAAATAATATTGATATAAGCATGTTAGCCCTGCAGTTAATCTTTACACTGGCTCATTGCTTCTCCCAGATACATTGAGGGTTGTTGAGCAATCCTAACTTTAGCCCCAGAAAATTGCAAGCTTTACTTGCTCATGCTGCCCAGAGCAGGTGGTAGGTTTCCTGAATTTTTTCCACTAATCTGGTTCCAGTCTGGTATGGCTGAGAGGCCCAAGGATCAGACCTCTTGGGGGATTCATGGGGCTTTAGATCCAGCCAGTCCAAAGCACCTGACACCCATCCATCAACACCCCATTGAGGGACTTTCTGCTGCCTACTTCCAGCAGAAGAAATGCTGGTGGTAGCTTGCTATCTGAATGGGCAAAGCTAGGCCTCCTCTGTGGTCTTTCTGCCTCTCTGCCAGTGGTAGTCAGCAGAGAGCAGACTACACAGTATCCAAACCCCACAGCCATCGACACTGGGTGTGCGTAGGTTAGGATTGCATAGCTAAAGGTTTTTCTACGCAAAGGAATCAATTTGAGCACTTCTCAGATATAAGTATATTTACTTTTCCTACCAAACACAGGCATTACATTTCACCTGATGAAAATAAAGTGAGTGCTCTAGTCTGGCCAGCAGCTGTCAGACTTTGTTGTGACCTTGTCAGTCACAGTCATTTCGTTTTTGTTTGCCACTTATTTTGGGGAGGGTGGGACTAGACCAAGGCAGAATTGCACAGAAAGGAGCCATGCTACGTAAAACAAAAAGAGGAAATTCTCCAGTGCACAAGTTTATGGGGTTTTTCCCCGTATGCTTAACCTCACAAACTGCCATGTGTAAGAAAAACAATAAATGAATGCTTTAGACATTCCATTTATAGGTCTAAAGAAAGAGCATGTTGGAAACTGTAAACAGTGCAACAAAGAGATGCAAGGCATGGTTATAAGAATGAAACAACAGTATAAATCATATGCTGTTTAGTTGTACAGTAAAGTAACATTGTGGTTAACTTGTGCCATTGTTTAGGAAAATGTGAAGTATCTGTGGAAAACGTCCGTTAAATCACAGCTTTAAATTAGTGGGTTTTTTCCTTGCAGATTAAAAACATTCTTTATGCCTTAATCAACCCACCCTAATAAATGCACTGGGTGTTAGTGGAATAGAATTCTGAGATCTGTATGCAAATCTCCAACCTGTCCGCCATGGCCTAACCTTGGGCTAGTCACAATCCCTCCAAATAACCTACAGGTGGCAAATATTTTGCACAGGAGTTCCGTTCCTGACCCCTGCACATGGTGGCAGAGCACGCATAAGTCCATTCCGCCTGCTCTATGTTTGGGCCACTTCTGGGTCAGCAGCGATGGGTATGTGCATGGTCGCACATCAATGGTTGCTGCCTGTATTTTACATGTTGTTGTGATAATAACTTCAGGGGAATAAGGAAATCTAGTATCCAGTTTCCAAAAGTTCCATGGAGGGATACAAATTGGCTTTTGATATTTTAGGAGCACCTGCGTATGACCTAATTACATTAGATGTTGCTCAAGAAGCCTTGTACATGAGAATACTGAAGTTTCTTAATTTTACAAATAATCCAGAAAAATACCTTTGAGGTATTTGAATAGTAAGTCCAATTCTTACTGCTCTTGTTTATTTTGGACTATATAGCAAAACATCATTTGTGATCTTTACAAAATCAGTAAAAGTGAATCTTCATTGTGTCAGATATCACTTGGACTATTGAAGAAATGTCTGGTACTCCTGGAACTGCATGCATGCCATTTCCATCACATATCATAATACATTGGAGCATACTAATTAAATATGTTCCCAATATATTTGTTATGTAAAGAAAACAGTTTGCTCTTCCAGAGCTACATTGTTTATGTAGGTTATCACTCCATCTAAAAGTGAATTGAAGAGGTGTGCACTTACAGAATTGTAGCAGACAAGAAACAAAAGCACATTCAAGAAGACTCCAAAGTTTGCAAAAATACAAATAAAACTTTTAAATAAACCCCCATAAGAAGGAACACACCCACAAAAAGCCTAATGTGTCAGTGCTGGAGCTGCAGAAGCTGTGAACTGTTGCATGTCAGATTGAAAAGTAAAACCAAGGTTGGGGGAGTTGGCTTGCTAGAATATCTAGTAGCTTATAGGGTTCCAGAGGATGGCATGACTGTCTGGCTTGAACCTTGAACAGGTGCAGGCGTGGTTGTGAGTTAAGGATATACCTCATTACAGGCAGCGACCATTTTAGGCACATCCAGTTCACACATGATTGCCAACATGCATGTCCTTTTAGACCAGGAAGAAGGCAGAATGGTGCGGGGCACACATAGACGCACTCTACTGATGTGCACAGGGGCTAGGAATAGAAACCCTGAACAAAATGGTAGCCATCTGTATTTTCTTGCAGGTCCCAATTTTTTTTGCTTGGACTGCACAATAATTTTTTGGATGCCCCAAACAAGCAGTCAAATACACTGAAGTGTATCTGGCTGTTGATTTGTTTTTTTAAAAGTATGAACTTGGAATAGTAGATGTGGCTCTTGTTGCAATAGATTTCATATGCAAAGATGAAGCCTGACCAAGAGGAATGGTGAAACAAACAAAGACAAAATGCATTGTGCTTCTTCTGAAGTAGGTTACAAAATGAGGAAAGTAAAAGTGATTATTTAATAATATTACTTAGTATTGATATATTACTTCCCCTAAAATCCTGCAGCATTACGTGTTCTCCAATTAATCCTTGCAACAGGCCATCATGACTGTCACCATATTAAAGCTGGACTTCTGAAGCAGAGAGATAGTGGCTTGCCTAAGGCCATCCAGCAAGTTCATGGCTGAGGTCAGATTTGAACTAGGTCAGACTTACATACATTGGTAAAATGATGGGCCACAGCTCATTTCCAGAAGCTTTCCTTTAGAGTAGGCACTCAGTTATTTTATTAAAGTTACTATTTACATTCTATAAACCCATCCCTATTAGCATAGCAAGCAGGTTAAACATTCTAATTTTACAGGCTCATCTTTAAGCTTATTTAAAATTTGGTAAAATAGGACACAGATCCTGTTTTGCGTTAAGAAGCGCTAGCTCAGTTCAGTAAACTTGTGACTTGCAAATGGGCAGCAAAAGTTATTTAATGTATTATCCTTCCACTACTGTACTATGATGCTAGACTATTGTGCAAGGCATGGGTTTCATGCAACATCCCTCTCTCTGAGAGTAGCAGTCCCTATAGATCAAACTACTGTATTGACATCATAAAGTTTGTTAGACACACAAAATGTGAATTATATTAAGTTTCACGACATTATAAATAAGTTAAAGGTAATATTTTCAAAGGACATTGAGAGCATTTGGAAGAAACAGCAACCTTCTTTTCACTGGATGCTGAGAAAGGTTAAGGAATCCACAGGCACCTTTCTTTCTTCTGAAGTTGCTGCCAAGTGTCCATTTATAAGCTCTTTAGCACTGTGTTTTAAAATGTCAGAGCAGAGAATGATGAAACTCCCCCTAGAAAGCTTTTCATTTGCTTTTGTGAGATTTGTTTATATGCCCTGTTTCACAATAAGTGAAGAATTCTTATTGAACTTAAAATATTGGTTTGTATTTTGGGGGGGCGGGAACCACCAACATTTTGCCTTTTAGAAACAATTGAATGCTAGATAATGCAGAAAGGTAATTCTTTTTTACAGTGAAATTTGAGTAATGCTATGTGGAACAAAATGTGTTTTGTTTTGTTTTTATTCTGTTATATTACTAGCTTTTTAATACAGTTTCTGAACAATTCTGCAGCCCCGTCTTTTTATCTGTCTGACTCTGTAGGTATTGCAGTTAGCTGTTGTATATGACCTTGGGCTGTTAATACTGTGTTGTTGGCACCTGTCTGTCTTGAGAGAAAATGGAGTGTGGCTTTGGGGGTGAAGTTAAAACTGCTACCTTAGCAGCACTACGTTAGCGCAAGCCTGGGCAGTGTGTATGAAGGTCCTGGGCTGCCCAGACAATACTGCCCTCTCGGCCTCTTGGATGTGGTGGTCCAAAGAAAAGCAGAGCAATATGTTTGGCACCAGCTTGGCTGCAGGACTTGCCAGAAGTAGGCATACAAGGCACCATCTGACCATCTTAGAGACTCCACTCCAGATTTGTGTAGGGTTTACTTAGGCAAGGCAGCGAGTACGGCTTTTTCCTTGGAGTTTTCTCCCAAAGCCTTTCTCACGGATGAGTATAGCCACAAGGCAGTGGAGCTTTAGGACCAGAGTTTTCCTTCTGCTAGATGTGCTGTCTTCCCAGGTTGATGAGCCCCATCTGCCCCTTACTTCCCTTTGCACCTTCCTGACCATTGGACCCACAATTGGTCTCGTTCACTCAGTCCGCCAGAGCCTATCTTTGCATGCAGGGGAAATCCCAAACTCACTGAGGGTTTGAGACCCCTCACCTGGTTTATCCAGCCAGTCAAAGCTCTTCCTGGGGGGTGGACACTGTTGCATCCTGGCAGCTTCTAGGAACCATAGGTGAGAGCTGAATGCAGGGTGGGAACCAAAGCTGGACAAACTACCCCAGAAGGAGTACAACATATCCCCCCACCAGAGGCAATGCCCTCCTCTATACACCTTAGTTAATACTCCGTATAAGAGAATTCCATTCTGTTCCTGAAATCCCTGCCTTTGATGTAGAATGATGAGATCTGCTTAATATTTTTATGTGAGGCAAATAAGTGATCGTCAACCTTCTTCAGCCTGATGCCTTTCAGATTATTCGGACTGTGGCAGCTTTGCTAGAAGGAGCTGATGGGAGCTAGTCCAAAAGGGTTTGGAGCACATCAGGTTGAGAGCGTTGTATGAAAGAGGAAACATTGTGAGGATTTGAGGCTGCAATCCTAAACACAACATTATGTTGCTCTGTGTTTCTCCCCCGCCCCCACTCAGTCCTTTGACCCTGTTGTAAGATTCAACCATTTAGCCTGGTCAGGTTTTGTACATGGAATGGGGGAGGTGTAGCCATGACTTCCATCTTAGGCAATAGTGTCTTGGGCTGACCCTGGTAGTAATAGTCATTGGTAGACGTGTCCTCTGTAAATGTGAGTGGTTTTCCTCACAACCTATTTGCAGCGAATTCTGTATATTAAATATGTGCTGTTTGACAGACTGTTTTCTTTTGTCTGTCTGCAGTCTAATGTTATCTGATATTGGGTGACCTTGAACTGCTGTATTCTATCCACTTTCTCCACCCTATGCATAACTTTATCTATTTTCACTAATTAGGTCTGCCAGGTCCCCAAGTCTGAGCATCTAAACTTGCACTAAACAAATTACTTGCTGATTACGCATATCATTAATTGTGCATTTTAAACCAACATACTTTTTTCTTCCCCCAGCAAGTACTACATAAAGGTGGGAAAGGAGCAATGGAATGATCTTCTTACCAGCCCATTCACGCATAGGACCAGGAAACAGTAGATCTTTAATCTCTGCCCTGCCTGCATGTTGCAAGGGGGTGTATCTTCCTTTCCTTGATTCTGCTGCTCCAGTAGCTTGTAAATAGCATTACCTTTTCTCCTCAGTTAATATGGGAAGTTGACGTTTCAAATATTAGAGGGAACTGCTTGTGTTAATCTTGAACCTCCCTTGTAGCTGAGTAAAATCTTATAGTAAAACTTTGATTTTAGTAGTAGAGTTAGAATGACATGTGCACATAGTTTGCGGAAATGAGTCCTAAAAATAAAAATGCTACTTGAAAGTAAGTCCTGTTGATTTCAACAAGGTTTCATTAATTTCTGAATATGTAAAACATATGCTAAAGATCAGTAAATGGAAGATAATCCAAAGAATCAAAAGCAGATCTTTCTGAGCCCAGTTCACAGTTCACCTCCAGCCTCATCAACCTCAGCAGTTTTGAGTAAGACTCAGCTTGACACCTGTAAAATGGAAATAATGGATACTATACAGTTTTGTTATGATGCTGTAATAAATATGGTGAAACCTGGTAAAATGCATGGCTTAGTTTAAAACTGGGCACTACAAATCATAATATGTGTACATATGATTGTACACAAAAGTCGAGTCAGTCATGCAGAGCATTGAAACAAAGCAAAAAACTGCACTGGAAAGAACCCAGTTTATTAACATCCAGGAGAATGGGATTTGACTCTATCTGTATACTGCAACAACTGGGAATGTTACCACTTTTGAGATAAATGGGCACTGTAATTTTCAAGCCTGATGTATTTTTAAATAGTCTGAACACTTTGCATTCCCAGGATTGGGAGAAAGAACAGAAATTTCAAAAACTAGAGCAAAAGGCAAATCTAAAATTCAAATACGTGTATAAATAAGAAACCAGAAATCATGCATGCATGCAGGCTGCAGAATATGTGTTAGTGGAATCAGTCCTGGTTTGCAATCTGTTGGAAGGGATTACTCAAATTCCAGCTTGCTGGTTCAAATGTCATAGCAAACTGGTTTGACAAACCAGAATTTTTTTTTCTATTAAATTGGATGCATGAGAGTGGGCATGTTTTCTGGTTCTACAATACAGACAAGAATGACAAACTTTCAGTCATGTATTTCTCTTAGAAGGCATAAATCTAGGTCAAACTGCATGTGAAGTGTATTAAAGTAGAAATTGATTATTTCTTCTGCAATCCTTGAGCATGACTGCACGCAGTGTTCTCAGTTGCTTGTTGTCTAGTCTACCATTCAAACTTTTCATGAAGTTACATAAAGTAGGTTGCTTGACTGATTTGAAATCTGAATTCTGTTGTTGGGGGGGGGGGTCCCATTTTTGCCCTTATCAGTATTGCCTTAATTAACTGACTGTTCTCCAGCCCACCGCCTCCAACCCTACTGGTGTAGAGCTATCAAAACTTCTTATCGCACATGGAAGATTGTAGAAGGGGCGGTGTATTTTCAGAAGGAGACTAACCTCCACAAGTATTTCTCGCACAAATAGATATTTTAAGTTACCGTATTTTTCGCTCCATAAGATGCACTTTTTCCCTCCTAAAAAGTAAGGAGAAATGTTTGTGCGTCTTATGGAGTGAATGGAGGGAGGCTCTGCTCAGTGCTCCCTTTAAAGAGCCGTGTGGACCGTGTGTGTGGCTCTTGGGGGCTTTTCCCCGAGGAGGGAGAAGGGCAGTCCCTTTCCCTCCTCGGGGAAAAGCCTGCAAGCACCGCACACACGCTTCACACGGCTCGTGAAAGGGAGCGCTGAGCAGAGCCTGGGATGCATACAGGCTGCGCTCAGCGCTTCCTTTAAAGAATATTTTTTTCTTGCATTCCCCCTCTAAAAACTAGGTGCGTATTATGGTCAGGTGCGTCTTATGGAGCGAAAAATACGGTATGTATTTGAAAACAGACAGAAAACACATTACTTAACAATAAATTAATCTCCACTAATGGGAGACTGCCCAACAATCATATGTAAGCTGCATTGAGTTCTGTAGAAGAAAGGCAAGATATAAAATTACCTACATAATTATGATGCTTCATATATAGTCATCAGTAGTCATCAAAAGTATTCATAGAATCATAAGAGTTAGGGAGACCCTCCTAGGCCATCTAATTTAACCCTCTGCTGGATGCAAGAAATTAAGAGTTGAGTATACTCAAGAGATGGCTGTGCAGCCACTGCTTCAAGATCTCCAGTGAAGGAGAGAGAGCCCACCCCAAGTAATTCAGTCATGAAGACTTCCATGTGGTATGAAATATTTCTGTAAGGATTGGAGAATTTAATACTTATCCAGAACACCATAAACGTATTTCTGGAAGACGATTTGGGAATTTGATCTGATTCCAATATAGCTGCATTCTATTGTAACCTTATGATTTCACAGACACTTTATTCTTTCTACCGCCCAACTGCTCTTTCTCTCACCCTTTTCTATTCAAGGTTATCTGTGACCTGTACTGTAAATAATACGCAGGATAAGTAGATCACTTTTGTTACATCATATTTCATATGGGTTGCTATTGCTATCTCAATCTCTTCCTTTATGGTACTAAAGCCTGGGAAGCTACATTAGAGTTGGCAGCTGCCTGTGATGTGCAAAACTAGTGGCTTGCAGTTTTATGTCTAAGGTGTCAGGATTCTACTCTGCTCTAAAATCACATGAATTAATTAGTTGAAGGGTAAGCCATGTACAACTTTGAAATCTCGCACAACTTGCTTTAGTCTTTGGATGACAAATGGATTGTTATAGGTCACATTCATTAAATATGTGCTCTGTGTTCCCCATAATGTTTTCAATAGTACTGCCGAAAGGAAAGCTTAAGATGCAAATTCTAGCAGCTGCCTTAAGAGAGCGGCTGAAAAATGAGCAAAAATAATGTCAGGGCAGTCTTTTGGAGAGATGAGACACAAAATCATACGCCTTTTTTTTCTTTTTTTGACAGGCAAGTGCTGAAGAGTTGAGTAATAAGCCTCTTCCTTGCAGGCAAATAGATAGTAGCAAGCAATGATATGTTTGACTTATTGGCACCAACCAACTCTCCCAAGGCTAGAATCTACAAAACCGCATGAAGTAAGACAGGAAAAGAACAAAGCTTAAGGCTGCAGTCCTGAATACACTTACAAGGGAGCAAGCACAGAGGAACTTATATTGAGTAAACTGCGCTGTTTGAGGGGTTTTTTTTTAAATCTCCTCTACAAATTAATTTGCATGTTCTGTTGGATTACTTGTTAAAGTGTTGTGCAGAGGGTTCCTAGTTTGCTTTCCAGTAAATATGTTTCCCAAGCTTCAGCTTGAAAAGATATATAGCCTGCAAACAACAGGGAACAGACAAGCCTCAACATTTAAATAAAATACCTGCAAATATATTTCTGAGGCGTATGTAAAAAGCAACGGCAATTTGATTGGGGAGGGAGAGCTTGATGCAAAGGAAAGCCTGAATATGAATTAGTGTTTATATTTTGTTAATACTAGTTTTGCCAACTCAGCATGGTGAAAGTGGCTTATTTGTGGAAGAACTGGGATTTTCTGATTCCTGCCTTCAGTTCTGCAATAATACGTCTAACACAGTAAAGAAGTCTCTTCCCACCATGCCGTATAAGCCATTTTGAAGCAGAGAAAGATCTTAAAAACAGCTAAAGCCGTGAAATGCACCAAATAGTCAGTTCCACGTAGTAATAATAATAATAATTTATTTATACCCCGCCCATCTGGCTGGGTCTCCTCAGCCACTCTGGGTGGCTTTCAACAAAATATTACATTTCATAAAATTTATTTCTTAAAATTTATACACCACTTGATTATTTAAAAAAACCAAGAAAAATCCTCAACCATACTATGCAACATGCAAAAGTTGTAACACTAAAACAGATTAAAATTACCTCAACTTTCTAAGCATCTGGGTAGGCTTGTCTAAGCAAGAATGTTTTTAGCACTGAAAAAAGTACAGTGAAGGCGCCTGCTAGATCTCAACAGGAAAGGAGTTCCAAAGTGTAGGCGCTGTTCTTATATGCTGTTATATTCTGACAAGGCCTCACTCCTGTCAGTCGTGCTTCGGAATCAAGCACAGGGGAAGCCCCACATAGAGCACATTACAGCAATCCAATCTTGAAGTAACCAACACATGAACTACTGTGGCAAGGCTTTCCCGGTTAAAGAATGACTGTATCTGTCTACCAGTTGCAGTTGGTAAAAGGCACTTCTAGCTACTGAGCCTCCAGTGACAACCTCCTTGACTTATGTGAGTGCCCAGTATAACTGGTAATATATCTACAGTGGCACAATGATCTTTATACCCATTTAATTGCTGGCAATGCAGATATTACAATCAACTTGGTTAAAATCTGTTTTCCTACTCTCGCATGGTAGTTACTTCTGCCCAGTAAAATAGCTTGCTGGCCAGTGCCTCCCATATTCAGAGCCTTTATTTCAGAACGAATGCTTTGATGTGCATGTCTAAAGATGTTTCCTTTACATCTTTACGTGTTAGATTATTCAAAATGGCTCTGCGTATTTTAATTACTTGCTGTATGCTCTACCATGTTGCTGTCTGTATATCAAACAGCAACAGCTCTTGTGAAGAAACTAATACTCATCCATTAAGATTTATGATGATTCTATTTTTTTCCTGTATTGCTACTTCAGAAGTGTAACAGAGAGGCTTCTGTGAAGCACTTCCCTCAGTCGAGATAAGAATGAAATACATTACATGAAGTGATTTTCTTTTACAAATTTGTAAGAACTCAGTTCTCACTCGGACAGTCTTGGGAATCATCATAAGGCTGGGAATCAAACCAGTCAAACAAACAAGTGATTTATGGTTCATTGTTCTTCCTGATGAGTGTGCTAATGTTAATGTAAAATAATTCCAGCCCAAGTTATTAAATACTGTAGCTCAGTATCATATCAAATAAAAGTGAAATTGTACTCTTATAAATTAAAAATCTTAACAAGAACATCAAAGGTATAAAAGCTTTTCCTACAATCACAAGGGAATGTATAGATGGTTTTTGTATTTCTAATTCATAGGATCCATTCAGCTGTGCCTATGATTTCCACACAAGTCTTTACTGGGAGATTTGGCTGGCCTGTGTGGAGGATGGCAAAATATACTGGCTTGTCTACATTGCTGCCTGCACCAATTTTAATTTTGTCATTTTGCATTCATATTTTATCCAGGCATCGTCTTTGGGAATGTTTTACCATTCATATTTTAAGTCTGTGATAATTCAACTTGGCCATTCCTTTATTTAAAAATTTACACCCAGCTTTTAAAAAAATTAACTCCAAAACAACTTCAGAAAAAACCGTGAAATGCATAAAATAGCAGGGTGCCCCAAGGAATATGGATTATGCAGAACTCATTCTCCCCAGCAAAGAAGTAAAATGTTGGGGCAGATCGGGGAATGCTTTGGATTTTCTGGATCCCAAGCCCTCCTGTTCTTTTGGCATGCCTCCAGCGTTGAAGGATTTTCCTTCTTCCCATTGGAACAGGGGGGAATTATTATTATCATTAATATTTTAAGAAAAGGAAATGCAGTCCCCCTTCCCCCAGCTTGACAATTCATCTGAAGTGGACTCTCCTGACATGATAGGATTGCTCTGTACATTAAATGCTATGATGATTATATGCTATAAGTGAAATTCCCACTATTGCAGTTGTGTGTGCTGAGTAGATTCTCTCATATATATGTTGATTATGGTCATATTGTTCCACATTCTTGCCATACTTGGTTGTCTCTTATTTTTATGCTTTTAATGAGTTGAAAGCTATATCATAACTTATGGAGTTGTCATGAAGTTGAGCAGCTAACTATGTAAGGAGCAGTAACTTTATGTTCTTAGCTTTAAGACAACTAGTGAAAATTATTGTTATTAATTGATTGATGGATTAATTAGTTAGTATACTGCAGGCATAGGCAAACTCGTCCCTCCAGATGTTTTGGGACTACAACTCCCATCATCCCTGACCACTGGTCCTGTTAGTTACGGATAATGGGAGTTGTAGTCCCCAAACTTCTGGAGGGCCGAGTTTGCCTATGCCTTCCATCTGTAGATCTCAGGGCAATTCACAACATAAAAATACAAGATAAAAAAGCACAAAATACACAATAAAAACAAACCAATAACCCCCTCCAAATTCCATTTGTTGAATAGATAAACATTCACAGATACAATCTAGATACCTTTGTTTATGTTACCACACTGTTTGTGCTGCAGTTAATGAAATCTGAAAGTACAAACTGGCCCACATAGTATCAGTATCTTTATTATCCATCACTGATTGAAATACAGATTGTAATATGCTGTGTGAATGAAAAAAAGACAACTGCTATCTTTTCAGTTTGGGGTGATAAAAAAATCAAGAATGCCCATGGGCCAACATTCTAGTCTGTATTTTACTGCGGTTTGAAAGGTTTGGTTTAGGAAGAAGTACCTTGATCAGTATTCAATTGTATGTTAGCTTGCATAGCATAGCATGTTAGAATATGGCATCTTTCTTGCATGTTCATGAATGACAGGCTGCGTTCAGTCTCTTGTATCCAAGGCAATATACCTCTGAACACCAGTTTCTGAGAATCACAAGTAGGGAGAGTGCTATTGCTATCGGGTGTTGCTTGCAGGCTTACCATAGGCATATATGGTTGACCACTATGAAAACAAGATACTAGATTAGGCTGGCCCTTTGTCTGATCTAGCAAAGCTTTATTCAGTTCTTTTAATCTAAAGTATCTAACACACTGATCCTCACAATTCCTACCATAGAGGTTGCCCAGCTAAACAGGTGTCAAAGGGCATCAAAAGATTGGATGTGACATTTATTCTGTGATTGAAGGGATATGGCTAAGAACAGTGAGATGGAGGGAAAGAGGAAGGATGATGGAGTTTTCTGTTAAGTTTTTTTACTGTGTTGTGAACTTTTGATATAAGTCATTTTTAATTATGCAGGTGCTAGAGCAAACAATAATGGCTCTTGGGGGCTCACCATTTTGGGGTTTTGGACAGAGTGCACTGTGAATCCTCTCGATATGGCATGCTTTATTTCCTTTATTCAGGAAATAATACTGAGAGCCAGTGTAGTGTAGTGGTTAGGAGCAGTAGACTCGTAATCTGGTGAACCGGGTTCGCGTCTCCGCTCCTCCACATGCAGCTGCTGGGTGACCTTGGGCCAGTCACACTTCTTTGAAGTCTCTCAGCCCCACTCACCTCACAGAGTGTTTGTTGTGGGGGAGGAAGGGAAAGGAGAATGTTAGCAGCTTTGAGACTCCTTCGGGTAGTGATAAAGCGGGATATCAAATCCACACTCTTCTTTATCTAGTACACAATAGCCTCATGTAGGCTGGTCTCTCCGAAGCCACTCAAAGGTGCAGATTCTGTTAATCTTAGTTCTGTTCTTCATGCTCACTTCCATTGTGTTGTGGAAATGTCTCATACTGAGTGAGTTTTAAAATACCGTATTTTTTGCCCCATAGGACGCACCGGCCCATAGGACGCACCTAGTTTTTTGGGGGGGAAATAAAGAAAAAAAATTATTCCCCCCCCCAGGTGCGGGGCTGGGGCGGGGGAAGCCCGAGCTTCCCCCGACGCCAGCCCCCAGAACAGGCTGCTATCCGCAAGCCATGGGAGCCACAGCTAGCGGAGCGCTGCGCTAAGCACAAAGCTTGGGGTGTGCTGAGCTCAGCGCGCCCCAAGCCTCTGGGTGCCGGCAAGGTCTCCGCTAGCCGTGGGAGAGCCGTGCAACTTCGCGCGGCTCTCCCACGGCTAGCGGAGCGCTGCGCTAAGCCCGAAGCTTGGGGTGTGCTGAGCTCAGCGCTCCCCAAGCTTCTGGGTGCAGGCAAGCTCTCTGCTAGCCGTGGGAGAGCTGAGTCTCCCACGGCTAGCGGATAGCTTCCTGAAGCCTGGAGAGCGAGAGGGGTCGGTGGGCACCGACCCCCCTCACTCTCCAGGCTTCAGCGAAAGCCTGCATTCGCCCCATAGGACGCACACACATTTCCCCTTCATTTTTGGAGGGGAAAAAGTGCGTCCTATAGGGCGAAAAATACGGTACCTTCTCTCAATGGTTTCAGTGCTTTACCTCAGTCCTCAGACAGTTCTTTTTTGATTAGAGCAACTAAAGCTGCTGTGTCAAATGAAGTTTGTGGCCTCTCTGTTGTTTTTCACTGCACTGAGCCCTGGCAGCCATTTTGGAAATGGCTCTGGCCTGCTTGGGATTCCCTGATGATCTGAGCCAGAAGTGAAAATCAGTCATCCAGAGTGCTGGCTTGTGATTCTCTGATTCTGCAGCTCACAGCCCGTTTGAAACTGTTAAAAGTTTGAACAAGACTTCATTTTGGAGCAAGCTTAGCTATTTTTGATTTTGGGAAGGAAGGAACAGCAGATGAAAACACCATAATGCCTTGGTGATGTAGCCACCCCCTTGACTGTTTGAATTTTAGTTGCAGAGATTGCATTGGCAGTGTAGATCATTTTCATCGGGTGGGTGAGAACCACTTCACCGATTGAAGTTTTATATTTTCAAGTGACATGGCCGAAATGATTAGTAAACAGTAGTGATATCTTCATTCTTAGTAATGTGTTAACCTCCCTTGAAAACCAACTGCAGTTTCTCCTTCTCAGCTCTTCATCAGACACTGCCTTGAGTGTTATTTTTCATTTTCAGTAGTAGTTCTGGCTTGTGAGAAAGTGTGATAACTCAGCATCATGTGTTGCTGCCCCCCAATGTTCAAAATCATTAGCTAGACATTCAAGTTTGAGACACTTTGGTTTTCATAACTTCCAGTTTAAGAATTTTTGTCTTTGGTTCAGAACCAAAAATCTTTTTTAAAGGAATCTGCTTATGTATGTTTTTTTTTTCTTTTTTCTTTTAAGGAAATAGAGCTTTTCAGGGCTCCAGATCATATTTGGCTTCATGTCTTAAATTTTCCATCTGCTGCTGGTGCTATATGACGTCCTCCTGATGCCTCTCTTGTTCACAGACATGTCGTAAAATTTGTGTGTGTTGATGATGTGTGTGGACTTTGCTTATCACAAAAGTTGCAAATCATAATCTTCAAACAGTTAATTTATGGAATTTGGTACCCACCTTTTGTAGTGTGCCCTTTTTTATGTGTAATATTTAATTATGTTGTTTTTAATGTATTTTTAGTACAGTGGTTTCATATTTTATAATGGACAAAGGTAGGGTTAGATGGAAGGCCACATGGTGAGCAAAGAGTGAGGAGGAGGATCAGTTCCATACCATAACAGTGGGGAAAGTCTCATAGATTTAGAATAAATTGTTACTGTCTCTAAAGGGGGATACAACTCTGTCAATACTGTCAAATGTCCACATATAAATCAGAAATCCAACCTTTTTATATGTAAGTACTAGCCAGCAAGACTCAAATGTAACAGTATTAGCAGCTGCACAGGTGGGTTTCAAATATTGACATTTGTTTTTAACCTTACATTTACAGATACAGTGGTACCTCGGGTTACATATGCTTCAGGTTACAGACTCCGCTAACCAAGAATTAGTACCTCGGGTTAAGAACTTAAGAACAGAAATCGTGCTCCGGCAGCACGGCGGCAGCAGGAGGCCCCATGAGCTAAAGTGGTGCTTCAGGTTAAGAACAGTTTCAGGTTAAAAACGGACCTCCGGAACGAATTAAGTACTTAACCCCAGGTACCACTGTAAATTTATTAAACGTATCGAGTTGCCTGAAGAATATGTTGATTTGAACAAATTCCACAGAGATTAGAGTTACAGAATTGTTAGTGAAAGGGGCATGGAAAGCTGAAGTAGGGCCAGCAGCTCTTCCAGTTTCTTTGTTTTATAATTTTGTCTCTCCCTCTTATGTAGGATAACAAGGAAAACAGCAATCTTTTGCCAAACAATGGAGACCATGTCCTGGTTCCTGGAAATGACAAATTCAAGCCTGTGTTACCCTGGCCTCACGTCGAAGGTGTGGAAGTAGACTTGGAATCAATTCGGCGGAGGAATAAGGCCAAAAATGAAGGGAATCCTCTTGGTGGCAATAATGATCAGCAGAACATCATGCAGCGACAGTATCTCACATTTAAGCCACAGACACTGATCTACCGTGATCCCGTATTACGACCTGGAATTCTTGGTAATTTTGAACCCAAAGAACCTGAGCCTCATGGAGTTGTCGGTGGTCCTGGTGAGGAAGCCAAGCCATATGTTTTAGGACCAGAGTATAAAGAATCTGTTCAAAGCAGCATTAAGGAGTTTGGGTTTAACATGGTAGCAAGTGATATGATCTCACTAGATCGAAGCATTAATGACTTGCGTCAAGAAGAGTAAGTACCTGATCTGCCTCTTCTTTCCCCCTCTTTTAATTGTGTTTTTGTTGTGCGATCTGTACACTGTGACAATCATCTTACATGAATATATATTAGCGATAGTAAAGGAAAACAATTCAGCACTTCTTTTTAAAATGAGCTTTACTTTTTCTTTTTAGCAGAGATGTACAGTGGTGCCCCGCAAGACGAATGCCTCGCAAGACGGAAAAACCGCTAGACGAAAGGGTTTTCCGTTTTGAAGTTGCTTCGCAGGACGAATTCCCCTATGGGCTTGCATCGCAAGACGAAAATATCTTGCGAGTCTTGAGATTTTTCGCTTTCCCCCCCTTTATCTAATCTGCTAAGCCTTTAATAGCCTTTAATAGCCTTTTAGCAGCTAATCCCCTAAGCCTTTAAGCCTTTAATAGCCGCTAAACCGCTAATAGCGCTAATAGCGCTAATCCGTCAATGGGCTTGCTTCGCAAGACGAAAAAACCGCTAGACGAAGACTCTCGTGGAACGGATTAATTTCGTCTTGCGAGGCACCACTGTAATCATGTGAATAACACGCCTACTGAAATTAGCAGAACTTAAAAAATGCATAACTATAGCTTGGTTAGTTCCCAGAAGTATTCTAGCAGGCATTCAGATAATGAGTAATAAATTACAGTTGCTTAAACTTTGATCACATTTGATAAGAAATCATTTTTCTGTGGTGGGTAGATAGGATTTAGCCTGATATTCAAAAGGCTTATGCAGTTTTCCTACCCCCTTTGATCTGCTGGGTCTTTGTTATATGACCCTTGACTCTCCAATAAGGCATGATGCCAGGTTCAGATCACCATTTTGCCTTCATCTGAACCAATGTGTTAGTTGTTGCAACTCAATTGTTTGTCTGAGGCAGGCTTTCCACTATGTGATCTGTGAACAGAACTCACCAGCTTGTACTTCTGCTTGTTTTTGTTCTTTGCATTTACTGTCTGTTACAGAATGTGTTCTTTCTGAGTGAATTCAGGGGAGAACAGTACAATGGCTCCTTTTAACAGTTATGAAAAACATTCTTCCCTCCATGTTTCTGTGGTAACTACTAAAATGTAATTGTGTTGTGCAAAGATTTTGTACAGAGTTCTTATTTTGTGTTCTCTGTGTGTGTGTTTGATGTAAACCATCAGGTTTCCCCCACTTTCTCTTACCATCAGTAACTTAAGAGTCTTAGAATTGGAGTTCTTTGCTACTCTACCCTTAAAATGCACCAGACAGGGGTTTGGTGACAAGGGGAGAAAACCCTGTCCTCAGAAGATGTAATTTCCATATCACTTTTACTGTGCATGATTGTCTGTGAGAATTTTGTGCCCTCTATATCTTATTTCTGTCATTACTTTAGAACTTTTTGGAAGTAATAAGATTGAAGGATCAGTACATTTTCATGATCAATTTCTTTGACTACATAAAAGGTGCTTATGATGTTGGCATTAATGTGATTTGATTGTGATATCAATAAGGGTTTTTTTCTGTAGATAGCATGATCTTGACTTTACATCTAGATGGGTTGATTAAGGCAACCTTTGTTGCCTATGCCGAAATTTCTTACAATACCTTGTACTCTATTCTCAGTCAATTTTATTTGCAGGTACAATCCTTTTCAGCAGTGTGTTTTGTATATCTATGAAGGTGGTGAATATTATTTATTCCATATCAGAACTGTCCCACTGCTTCCAAATCTAACAATGCTGCAGACCCTGAAGCACATTTGATGATTACATAAGCAAGCAAGACCATGGCAGCTGTTCCTGAAATATTTGGCTGATTTCCCAAGCATATGGGCTTTCCCCCCTTTGAAATAACATGGCAAACATTTTATGGAGCTCAGGTAACATGAGAAACATGGTTTGCTGAGGAAAACAGTCCTTTAATGCGAGAAGAAGTTGAGAACCCTTTCATTTCTTGCAAAGTCCATTTTGAGAAGACAGCTTCTGGGTCATGTGGCCAGCATGACTAAGCTGCTTCTGGCAAACCAGAGCAGTGCACAGAAACGCCGTTTACCTTCCCACCAGAGCGGTACCTATTTATCTACTTGCACTTGACGTGCTTTTAAACTGCTAGGTGGGCAGGAGGTGGGGCCAAACAACGGGAGCTCACCCCGTTACAGGGATTTGAACCGCTGACCTTCTGATTGGCAAGTCCTAGGCTCTGTGGTTTAGACCACAGCGCCACCTGCGTCACCCTAGCCTAGTGTAGCTTTCTTTAATTAGGAGCAGCTCTCAGGTAGAGAGAGACGTATTGTAGCTCTGCTACCTAAGGTACTAATAAACTTGAGATGACGGGATTGAAGCTGACACCTCATATACACACACTTCATGTGTTCTGACACATAGCATTGACACTTCCCCATTGAAATAATAGTAAACGCTGTATAGAGGAGCATGCTCAGATATGTGTGACTTGATCTACTTCAGGATTATGTGCAAACGTGGTGTCCTCTCACTTTTGGGGGCAGGTTAAACTGGTTAATTGGGGGTAATGCTATAGCTCAGTGATAAAGTACATACTTTGCAAATGAAGTTCCTGTTTCGATCCCAGTTATCTCTGTCTAGGACTGGAAAAGACTCACTCTAGCTAAGGCTGAAACCCTGGACGGTCATTGTCAAGGGTATAGACCAGGCGTGGGGGAACCTCAGGCTCAAGCATCAAATGCAGCCCACCAGAACTTTCTTTCTTGCCCTCAGGACTCTTCCCAGGCCACGTGCCCCCTCTTCAGTCCTAATCTACACCCTTCTGAAGTACTCTTACATTATTGGAATGTGTCCTTGTACTGTGATGTCTCTTGGTTGCCTTTAGGGAAAATGAAGAGATGTGTGCTTTGCACATGTGTACGTAGAAACGTCTGAATTTTGTGTGGCTGGATACTGCCTGCAGAAGTAGTCACATCCATTGTCCCACTTTTGCCTCTGACTGTGCCCTCCCTGCCCCCATCATATGGTCCCCAGTAGTTGCTTATGAGGGAAAGCGGTTGTCAGGCTGAAAAACATTTCCCATTTCTAATTCTAGGTAGCATAATTGTCTGAATCCGCACAAGACAGCTTCCTATACTTACAAACTTAATTTTGACATATCAAAAATGTTTTGTTGGGTACACTGTTTTGTGTTGGTGGGGCAGTGAAGGGTTCCAGGCTATGGGTCTTATTCAACTAAGCTTTAGGACCATTTAAATCATGATTAAGTTAATTTCAATGGCTCTACTCTTGAGTAAAACTGGTTGAATACCATCCAATGCTAGCTGCAGTTTTAGAGGGTTGCTAGGCTAGGATCAACTATGATTCATACCATTATATGTGTGGTGAGAGAGAGACTGTGATTGAAGCTTTATTTACTATGGTATCTTAAGGTGACCTATATAACAAAATGAAAGGTATCTGGTGTGCAGATGTTCTCATCTTCTCAGAGTTGCAAAACAGCAACAACAACGACACAGATGCTGTATGGAGACAGGAATATCTGATAATGTCTTTGCTCTGGCAGCTATAAAGATAAGAGCTAAAGTGCTGCTAAATCGGCAGCTTTGCGATATCAAGTAGAAGTACAAAAAAAATCAAGTAGAAGCACTAGGTGGCAGGATGCATTTAGCTTTAAAGCAAAACATAATTTCAAAATGTATCTTATATATATGAAGGCTTCCTTGTTTGCAATTAGAAACACTGTCCTCTTCATACAACTTAAATAACTATTAACACTGTACAAGATATATTAGAAGTGCTTTGAGAATTTTCACTACTGACCAATAACGTTTAATATCTTTTCTGAAGCTTGAACCCAGTCCAAAACACAAAATGGGGTCCATCTTCAGAAAAGCTTTTCTGAGTCCTTTAATACCTGGCAGTAAATAATAGTGAATAGCATCAGCGTCTTAAAATTCTGCTGTAACACAGCTCACAAGGGCAGAGATTGTCTGCATTTGGTAGCTCAGTATTGTTCCCAATATCAGACAACGTACTCTATAAAGTGCACTACCCTTGTTCCCACTGCCCAGTGTGGAATTTTTTAAAAGCAAGAGCGAGAGTGGCAGCCCTGGAAAACATAATTTATCATCATTTTTAATACTGAAATTGTTCATTCTGAAACATAATTGAGCTTCCAGCATCTTATTTTGCAGTCTTAAACTCTACCTTATTCTAAATAAGGTATATTAAATGATGGCTAACAATTATCTTATTTCTATATCTTTAGTGGACAAGTTGCTGATTAACTTTATAGTACAGTGCTTAGTTGATAGTTGATGTTTGATATTTGCTTGCTGGTGTTAGTTAGCGAACCACTGGATGTCACTATTGTTCTTTGCAATAGCACTTGGTGTTTTATCTGGTAGTTATCTATCTGCTTGGGAACCTATTTTGGAACAACAGTAGGTCATAGCAATTACAGTGGTACCTCAGGTTAAGTACTTAATTAGTTCCGGAGGTCTGTTCTTAACCTGAAACTGTTCTTAACCTGAAGCACCACTTTAGCTAATGGGGCCTCCTGCTGCCGCCGCTCTGCCAGAGCATGATTTCTGTTCTCATCCTGAAGCAGAGTTCTTAACCCGAGGTACTATTTCTGGGTTAGCGGAGTATGTAACCTGAAGCGTATGTAACCCGAGGTACCACTGTACTGTTGGCTAACTACTGTTAAAGGTATATTTATACTCCTTGTTGAAGGAGACTCAAACTTGAACATCATGTCTCGTAGAAGACTTGTATTATTATTTTTTAAGATGAACAAATAGAGCATTGAAATTAGGGATTTTCTGAAAATTCCGAAAAGCTTGAACTTTGAATTTAAAGTGCAGGCTATTAAGGGGGTGAACAAAAGGTTGTTGAGCTTTGTTAAAACAGATAATAGATGGCACCCTTGATAAAAGTGGGTTGTGGTGATGATAAAAAAAATGCACACTGAATTTAGGCATGTTGATATTACAACTACAGGTCCCTTGTTAAGACTGATAGCCTGGGACCTGAAGGTTTGTTCTGTCTTATTGCACCACGATTCAGTGTCACTTTTTACTAACTTAGTGGCTTTCATAGAGGATATAAAAGTTTTTAAATTTGTTCAGTGGAATGATTTCCTATTTAGGAAGTTAGTGGGTTTGCTTGTTCATTGTGATTTCTAGCTTGGAAGATACGGATAAAATATGCTGGCTCAGAGGCTAAATTAACAGACATTGGTAGCTATTAGCCAATAACAGTTGTAGTGCAAAATATCTAGAGGACACTCATTATGTGTAGGCAAAGGGATTCAACCTTTCCTCCGCAAAAAGAAAAGGGGCTGGTGTAACTGTATTTCAGCTGAATTTTTCTTTGCTAATGGAACACTTGTGTATTCCCTAATATACTTCTCTTCATTATTTATCCTTGCCCCAAAAGAGATGCATTAGATTTATGGAGATTCATCAGATAAATGCACAGTTGTTACTAATTTGATATATGAGATTCAGACTCCTTTTTGGGTAGTACTTTTATTGCAGGTACCTCAGGGGAGAAAGCCGCGTATATATCTTTAGCATCCCAGAGGGTTTACAACAACCTTGCTTCTATTTTAAGTGCAAGTATGTGTACCACACCTATACACACAAACTAACCACACATGGTTTCTCCTGTAATGTGTGTGTGTGTGTGTGTGTGCACAGCTTGTAAGTGATGGAATCTTGAAGCTTGAAACATCGAGCTGGAAGGGACCACAAGGATCATCTACTTTAACCCCCTGCAATGCAGGAATCTTTCACCCAATCATGTGGGGCTCAAACCCATAACCCTGAGGTTAAGAGTCTCATGCTCCAACTACTGAGCTGTCTCTTAGGGCAAGTGTACTGAATGATAATGTACTGAAAAGCAATAAAACAGGAAATGCCACCAAAACCTTTCTTAGTGGGTGGTGTACAGAAAGCTAAGACTAGTTGATGCGACAGAAGCACCTGGTACTGCAAGTTGTCAGAAAATCATATCAGCCATGGGCTGAAAGAGTCATGCAAATTGGCCCCAATTCTGCAGGCAAACTCAGAAAGCAGTTAGGAGCAGAATGGGTATCATAATGTGATTGCAGGTTATAGAGAGGGTGTTGCAACAGAGGGGAGGCTTATGACAATTCAGAAGAGTGAACATTCTGACAAATTATAGTTTTCTCTGTTGTGATTATAACAACCACGTGATAACCTTTCCTTCTGAAAAACTACATGAAGGAGAAGGCTGCAGAGATTGCTGGCTATATGATGTGAAAACATTGGGATTGGTTTTTCCCCCTAGAAGGTACAACGTAACATCAAAATATTTAAATTACATACAACTTTCATGTTTGTCCTTGTGGACTTAGGTTTTGTTTTTTCATGGAACAAAAGAATGTCTTAAACATGGTTTTCATTCTGAAAACTGCTTCAAGATCCTTCAAAAAGTAAGAAGCAGCAATCATTACTGTCCAATCATTACTGTAAGCTTAGCTTCTAAACTAGCTTCATAATCATGCTCTATCCCAAGTACTGTGTAGGTATATTTTAAGTCCTCTCTTGGGGGTGGGGAGCACTTTAATTAACTAGGTGGTACGAATGGGGTATTATAAGAGAATTTTCTCCAAATGGTCTTATTTATTGCAGCCATAACTAGTGCTCTAGTTAATTCTGTTTTTTCACTGATAGTGGTTCTGATAACAACCATGTTCTGATTGTAGATATTTCAAAAATGTTAAAATATAACACACATATCTGTTGCAGGTGCAAGTACTGGCATTATGATGAAAACCTGCTCACCTCCAGCGTTATCATTGTCTTCCATAATGAAGGGTGGTCCACACTCATGAGGACAGTTCACAGTGTAATTAAAAGAACTCCAAGGAAGTACCTGGCTGAAATTGTATTAATTGATGACTTTAGTAATAAAGGTAAATGCATTTAATATCAATATTAAACCCAGCAAGAGCTGAATCTGTCATTCTACAGGGAAGTTGAACCAACATAAAGAAATACTGTGCTGATAATTCAGTGGTTTCTGCTCTTAATAAGAAACCAGCCTGCAGATTTAAGAATATTGATCTGTGGATAGAGTCGGTAGCATGGTTTTCATTATAGATCAGTTTTAAAAAAGAAAAAAAAATAGCTTTAGTGAATTAATGTAGTTTGTTCTAGCCTATTGAATGAAGAAGCGTAAGTGCTATCACATTCAGCAAATATCTGTCTTTCTGTTTCTTTCAATGGAGACTTTGCAGAAAAATTCAATCCTTCTCAAAGAGTAATCATGACTCAAATCTTCATTCAAGGCTACATCTGTTCAGAGATAATGCAAGGGTTCCCTTGAACAGGAATCAACACTCTCCTTTCCAACATATGGATTTTTTTGACTGAAGGGTTTGTCAAAATGGATAGTGTAGGAAGCTTCACCTTTGCCTCTGTAGGTACTTCAACTGTCAGCCTTGGGTTTTCATTGCATTAAATGCTTATTACAGTAGCAGAGACTTTTAGATATAGTGTGAAATCTGTCCCCCTGCACACGCAAATTGTTCCACACACTTATGGAAAGTTTGAGACGATGAAGTGCTTAAGCTGAAATATGGGTAGGGGGTTGGATTCCTAACAGATAAAGTTAATGTAGATACAAATGAAGGAGCAGGTGATCAGGGTAATATGTAATGCAAATGAACCAATATTCCTTCTATTCTGTGCTATCTTCCCCTTTATTTCTGATGTATAGAGAGAGAATGCTACTGTCCCTTATTTTCCTTTACAGCATCTATAGCAGAATGTAATAGAGTTGCAGATGAGCATCTTAAACGTGTGTGTGTGTGTGTGTGTGTGTGTGTGTGTGTTGCATAGTCCTAAAATAGCATAATGCTGAGAAAATGCTATAATCCACAGCAGTGTTTTCCTGCCACATTTGACTGTGGTAGCCTTAAATGTTAATAAAAGTCATGAGTGAAGGTATTTCATAATCTTTTTTTGCATCCACATTTGTCTTCAAATTCAGACATTACTAATATTTATTGTGGAGAGTGAATGCTACATCTCCTTTACCACCTCCTGGATTTTGTTGCCTATAAATGTTGACATTTTATTATGTGAGTTTAAAGACTTGATTATATTCATTTTTGGCATGTCAGAGAAGAGCTGTGAATGTGTCACTCACCCACAGTTAGTAAAGACCTAGTGTAAAGCAATAAGGAATACACAGGGAAAAAATGGAACACTTACGACACCAGGACAGCTTCCATTGTTACATTGCCTTACTCATGTTATAAAACTATGGGGGGAAGTGAGTGCAAAAACTGCTGGAGGTTTGTGCCTTTCTGTTGTCAAAAGAGTCTATAGTATGAGTTCTGAACTTTTCCAGAGTTCAGACATCACTTTCTTAGGTCTGACCTTTCCAACATTAGAAGGGCACACATCTTTTCTACTTCCCTACATGTATTTTAAAAATCCAAGTATTGTTGGTAGTAGTTTTTAAGTGAGGTTACAGCTGTTATCAACAAATATGCCAGGCAGTGATTTCTGTAATAGCCTTAACTTCTGAGTATTTAGATATTAAGTCAATTATATTTAGTTTGTTTTTAATATAGATTTAGTTTGTGTTGTAAGCTCTAAGCTAAATATTTTATAACAAATATGGAAACTTCTTTTTTATTATTTGATAGCACACTTAAAAGAAAGACTAGAGGATTATATTAAGCAGTGGAATGGCCTTGTAAAGATTTTTCGAAATGAAAGGAGAGAAGGTTTAATTCAAGCTAGAAGCATTGGAGCCCAGAAGGCTAAACTTGGACAGGTAGAAAACCATTTGCTAAATAAAACCCTTCTTTCCCTACAGTCTGAATTTTGCTTTTAACAGATCTTAAACCACTTGATTATTTCAAGTATAGTTCTTAATTGCAAAATGGCATATGTAGTCTTTTAAAAGATAGTTATAAACTGATGTCAACGTACAATGCAAAAAGCTCAATTAAATCAATGTGTGTTTTGTGTAAGGAAATCTCAAAATGAGTTGAAATCTCCTTTCCTCTTTGTTTTAAAGGTTTTAATTTACCTTGATGCCCACTGTGAGGTGGCAGTAAACTGGTATGCAGCACTAATTGCTCCTATAGCTAAAGACAGGTAATAATAATCTGCTTATTTTTATACCTCAGAAAGCCTTTAACAGCAGCCTTAACAGTTAGTAATTCACCCAGGGCAAGTAGCAGCTCTTTCTGGGTGAGTAACTTTTTAGCTCAGGGTGGTCCAACATTCAGTCTGGGGGTCACACATGGCCCTTGAGGCCTTTTTTGGTGACCCCCAGCCCACATGCTGCCTTCCCAAAGCCGGGTAAGTGAGACGCTAGTTAGCCTAGTTAGTACTTTCTCAGCTTTGGGAAGGAGGTGGGAGAGCTCTAGGATCCTGCCAGAGCTTTGCGCTTTCTTCCCAAAGCTTTGCTTAGCTGGCTTTGGACAGGCAGTGCAAGGGCTAGAGGGGTCAAATTTTGGCATTGCTCTCCCCCCTCTTCCACAACAAGTCGATTGCGGCCTACAGGTTCCATGTCAAAGTACTCTTGTGGCCCACTTGGTATGAAAAGTTGGGCTGCATAGTTCTAGCTCATTCTCCAGGCTGCCTGAATAGGCATGATAAAAACTTGCCTGCAGTGCTGTTCTAGTGAGAAAAAGAACTGCATTAAGAAACTTGATTTGTTTTTTAAGCAGTAAAACCAGTGTAAACATCTGCCAAGGTTTGAAAACACTAAATGCACAGCAGATTACACTTACTATGCAAAGTTTTTAATCAGAAAAGTTTTAGGGGATTTGGTCAACTTGGTAAATTGAAAAGGAACAAAGTCTGGAACAGTATACTTTGGGGTTCCCCCCTCCGTTATGGCTTTAAGGTGTTGTGGATTGTTAATGTGACCATATAAGCAAATCAAAGATACTTAAAACAAGGTATAAAATAATAAACGTCTGTTATGATAAATGTCTGCATATGAGGATTTCCTCTCAAAAGTACAAACCAGAACAGTATTTAAAAAGTAAATTCTAGCATATGATGTTCTAACATACTCTTGGTTCTATTCCCCCCCTTCCCCTTTTTAAATAATAGAGAACTGTAGTTCGGGTCCTACAGTAGAAAGCTGATTCTGGCTTTGCCACCTTGCAAGCAAGAAAAGCAGACATCTTCATTTGTGAAATGTTGAAACACATGCAAAATTCAAATAGTGTATTCCCTGGTTTTAAATCATACCTGACCTTTCAAAAACTGTTTCCAATGGGTTTAAACCAGTGATGGCCAAACTAGGCCCTCCAGATGTTTTGGGACTATAACTCCCAACATCCCTAGCTATAACAGGACCAGTGGTCAAGGATGATGGGAATTGTAGTCCCAAAACAGCTGGAGGGCCAAGTTTGGCCATCACTGGTTTAAAACAAGCCTTCTGTAAACAAGACGACAGTCCTCTTTACTCTCAAAGCTTAAGAGACAAATATATTCATATTTGCAAAAAGTGAAACACATAGCTTCCATCATTCACCTTGATATTTTGTTATCAGAAACCTGTGAAGGAAGAGGTAGATTGGTGTGTTGATGTTTCTGCTTTCAGCATTAATGTTTTCCTAAATAAATTTGACCTCATCCTGCTCATTCATAATCCCCACTCCCCTGCTTTCCTTCTGCAAGAAGAGCACTGTATGTATATGCTATATTTATTGAAGTTATATTGGAATAAAATGTAAGAGATAGCAGATGACTTATTGGATTAGACAGCTTAATCTTCTCTCTTCCCCTTCCATAAATGTTTCAGAACTACATGCACTGTGCCTCTAATAGATTACATAGATGGGAATGACTATTCCATTGAACCACAGCAAGGTGGGGATGAAGATGGCTTTGCCAGAGGGGCCTGGGACTGGAGCTTGCTATGGAAGCGTATTCCATTAAGCCACAAGGAAAAGGCAAAAAGAAAATATAAAACTGAGCCATATCGGTAAAGAATGCTGTTTCATTCTATTGATCTTTATAACTCATGCTTATCTAAATCCTTTCATTTTTCCCCTTTCTTTTCCATGAACCATGTGATTCGTTTAAATGTGCCATGTACCTGCTTTCATCCTCACCGCCACCATCCATAATCCTGCAGAACCACATGCACTGTGCCGCTTATAGATGTCATAGATGGCAACACTTATAACATTGTACCCCAAGGGGGTGGTGACGAAGATGGGTTTGCTAGAGGAGCATGGGATTGGAGTATGCTCTGGAAGAGGGTGCCCTTGACCAAACGTGAGAAGGAAATGAGAAAGACAAAAACTGAGCCGTATCGGTAATCACTAAACCACTTACACATTTCTCCTTTTCCTAAGGATGTACTGAACTATTAAATATTTGCATGAACTCTCCAGACCTTTAAAACAAAGCTAACAAAAGCAGATACTCTGTGGAGATACATCATTCTTTTCACTAATCTGTGGTCAAGCTCTTCTAACACAGCCTTACTAACTCCTTTTGCTCTTCTGTGTCTTGTACTTATATACTCAGTTCTTTCAGCAAAATGTAGGGTGGCTGCTAATTGGATTGTTTAAACGAAACCTGTGGTCTGCCATTATACCTTGATTGTGTTAGAAATTGCTTAGTATCCTTATTAGGTGCTGTTTTGTCCTGCCCGGACAGGTGAACTGACATATGGAACTAATTGATAGATATTTACAGAAAGAAAATGCATCATCCATGTGTCTTTTGTCTAAGTAACCTGTTCTTTTAATGGCAAAGGGAAATGTTATGTTACTCTGAATTTTTGCCTTTACCTATAAAATGATTTGTTCAAAAACAAAATTTGGCCAGAAAGGACTGAAATTTTTCTAATGTACCTACTTCTTCCCCTAAACTAACTAGGCTGCGATTCTGCTTTGGTTCACTTATGCTTCACTAATCCTGCAACTAGAATCCTTTTCATTTCAAAATTTCTTTTTTCCTGTAACCAAAGTAAATGTATTTTTGTATTATTTGAATATGCCATAATCCCATTTTAAGAATTCTGCTACTTTCATTTTACTCTTACTTTATTGTATTTTTGGAACTAATATTCCAAATCATTTTCAAGAAATTATGAAGCTTTGGGCGACACGCACAAATTTTTGCTCCCTGACATAAAAAGTTGTGGTTCCTCTCACAGAAATGAGCATATTTTTTTGCATTTATACACTATTAATAAAACAGTTCTAGGAAGGAGGAGGAATGAAATAATTTAAAGTTAGCACAACAGAAATTCATCACTGTACATTTATACTTATTTGCATTTTCATATTTTTATTAGAATATTGACACTGGTTAATGCATGTTATGCAGGTTTTCACATTGGCATCTGGAGAGAAACCTGGAAACCTCCAATACCACTTTTTAAGAACAGAATCTCTAGTCCTTATTATTGTAGAGAGAGAAAATGGGTTTGGTTGATAATGACCAACTGAATCAGAACATGCTGAATGTTTTAAAGACCTAAAATGGTACATAAAGAAAAATTGTCATTGTTCATTTTTGTATCCCATCTTTCCTCTGTTTTGCTCAGTATAGCATACATAGGTATGGGTTAATCTAAATATTTTAAATAATGAATTGAATTTTGTTTATACTGAAAGAAAATATAGCCCAGCATCTTAACACTTTGTTCTGAGATGTTGGTTAACTGCTTACAGTTCTGATAGTGTCCATTTGGCTTGGTTTTCACCTTTCAGCTGTTCTGAACTTGACACAAATTCTTGACATATTATGAACCATTTCTCTACAACTGCAATAAGACTAGGAGTGTTTTTATGACTGTTCTATGATATTTAAAGGAAAACAGGTCATGGAGAAAGCAAGCCTCCAGCCCAGTTCTTTTTTTCCATTCTGGATCACAGCCTCTGTGACTGCTTATACATTAAAGTGTTGGGACTAAATCATACCAACATTTAGTCTGTACCTTACCTGGTACCTAGGATTCCAAAACAGTTTAGCCTGTTATCTGAACTTTGGAGTTCAAACAATTGCTATAAACTTTTTATTGAACACCATTAAAGCTTTATAATTTCTACCTATCAAAAACAATTGTCAGTTGATTCCTACATATAAAAGGGATTCCTTCTGGCCCATGGCATACAAACGGTTAGTTCCTCTTCTCGTTCCTAGGTCACCTGCAATGGCTGGTGGATTGTTTGCCATCGAACGTGATTTCTTTTTTGAGTTGGGTCTCTATGATCCAGGTCTACAAATCTGGGGTGGTGAAAACTTCGAAATATCTTACAAGGTAAGCAACCATACCAAGCGTTGATAACTATCATATTTCAAGTAAATATGTGACCATCAATCAGCTCAGTTCTTACAAGTTTTTTTGTTTGGCCCAGGGACAGCAATACTTTCCTTGTTTTCCATCAGCCAACTCCTGATTAGTGCCATACAGACAACTATGTCTTGCTGCACTTATTATGTTTATTGCTTTTGAAACTGTTGGGCCTACACCTTGTTTTCTGTGGGGCTCTTCATTCTCAGATGTACCTTCTCAGCAAGGCCATAATGATGCCAAATTCTTGCCTCCTCTGAACCAAAGACTCAAAACCACTAGAGGACACATCTGCCTCACATTTTGGCACATTATCTGTTGACTTAGTGGTTGCTAAAGTAAAGTCTGAGACCTGATTTTATAGATCAATATGGGTGTAGGTTTTAGTCACTGGCACCTTATTCACGTAGCCCAGTTTTGCTTGTAATTCTGAGGCTAGAGCAAAATTATTTTGTAGCATGGATAGCCTCTGAAGATTAGATGAGAGCGCTTCAGGTTTGGACATGTTTGCTTTGAAAGTTGCTACATTTCAACTTTGTTGAAATGACATTGATACTATAACACAATTCCTAGGGACTAAGCTCCACTGTACATAGTAGGACCTGCTTCTGAGCAAACATGCATAGAAGGAAGATCTTAAGATATATATTGGAAATCTTAGACCTGTGTCTGTTCCAGATGTGGCTTATTGGGTGGGATAGAGCAGCTACCACTGGCTTCTTGGTAGATGGGTCATTGTTGTTTACTGGAAGGGAGAGTGGCCAGGTGGCAGGGAGATTGGCCAACCTCCCTGCCGTCTCACTTCTCCCTCCCAGAAAGCAGTTCACCTGCTGGGAAGCCAGCATAGGAGCTCTGCCCCATCGGCCAAACTGCTTCTGTTCTGCTTTGTTAAATAATCCAGAATAATATCAAGTTCTATGCAGCAAAGCAAAATGTTTTGTTTAATCCCTCCTAATAGAGAGAGAAGGTTTGAAATCATACAAACGATAGCTGAGCTTACTGCAGTTTAAGGGATTTACAAATACCACCAACAAATTCTGAAAAAGTGGTTAAAATTGCTCAAGGTGTTGAAGCGAGTTATTTAATATTTCAATTTAAAACTTAATGGGCACCCTAAAATGACATGTAATATTAAATGAAATTAGTTCCTAATATTATCTGCGGATATAACTTCTATATTGAATGCAATCCAGTTAAGAAATTAGGCAATTGTGACTACTTGTCAGTGGGTGCACTAATTATTTGACATTTTTTCTTTCAAATGATATGTAAGGTGGTGGTGGTGGTTAGTGACATCTTACAATGATGCTGAAAGCTTTGAAAAATAATAATAGCTAGTACTGTAATTTAATGTTTACAAGTGTTTTATGAGGTCTTGCAAGTTGTGAATGTGTAATTCTCCCGTTCTCATCTCTTTCAACATATAAAAACCTGCAGATTTGGCAGTGTGGAGGGAGGCTTCTGTTTGTGCCTTGTTCTCGTGTTGGACACATTTATCGTCTCCAGGGATGGCAAGGGAATCCACCTCCAGCGTATGTTGGATCATCTCCCACTTTAAAGGTGAAGTTTTATGTCTTTAGCATTTGATTCCTAAAATAAAAATCTTAGACACATTCAAATCTATACCTTTTTCTCTTCCCTAGATGATGAGTTTTATTCCAACTGAATGAAAACATGTAATTTGATTTTTTAAAAACACACCTAAGTTAATCGTTTGTGTGTGCGCACGCATTTGTGTATCTGTAGAACCACTCACTAATCCCATGGTTTCATAACTGGATAACCATGTTGAGGGCTGCTCAGTGTTCTTCACCTCCTAACCAAAAAGAGCAACCTTTTATTTTATTACTAAATTTGGGAGTTTTTAAATTATACCTGTATTCCTGAAGGTGTCTTTATTTTTTAAATATAGAAAAGCACACACATAATACCAGCATTTTGTTCAATTAAAGTTGATATAAATATGAATGCTGCATAAGAATTTTCCTTTAACTTTCTGGGAAATGAAACTACAGTGTGTTATCAAAAGATTTACCCACAAATGAAGTGTGTACGCACATAAAGTGATAAAGAGAAAGCCTAGCCACAATTACCCATGCTCTGGTAAACTCTTGTTTGGGTTATTGTAAAATGAATTTGGTATATTTTTTCCCACAGAACTACGTCCGAGTTGTGGAGGTCTGGTGGGATGAATACAAAGATTACTTCTATGCTAGTCGTCCTGAGACAAAAGCACTAGCGTATGGTGATATATCTGACCTGAAGAAATTTCGTGAAGATCACAAGTGCAAAAGTTTTAAGTGGTTTATGGAAGAAATAGCTTATGATATAACTTCTCACTATCCTTTACCACCTAAAAATCTGGAGTGGGGAGAGGTAAGTGCAGTGTTTTTGCAGATCCATTCCTTGATACAAGTCATTATTTCAGGTGTCCTGAGCTACAGCAGCCACAAAGAGTCCTATTCCCCTTGTTCTTCCAGTCCAGAATTAATTATAGGAAGGACTAGTGTGTGCTGGAAAAACAAGGGGAATAGGAATCTCTTTGTGGCTATATTCAGGGAAGGAACCAGCACATTCAAACTCTAAAACTGTTTAGTTTAGATCTGCATGAATTACTTGAGTCCCAAGGCTTTTGAACAAAACAATAAGTTGATGTGAAATCAGACCAGATTTCAATATAGGAATTGGCAAAAAAAAATCTAGCACTAGAGCTAGCATATGTCCATTTAACTCGAAGTTGACTGGGTTAAATGTGAACAGTGGACACAGAGAAGATAAAAAGTTGCAAGAATGAAAAAGAAGAAGAAGTGACACTGTTTAAATTGCTAGCATGAAGATGGAAAAAGAAAGAAGAATCCAGCTCTTACTTGATTATTTTTCTCAGTGTCGTAACTTCCTGTGTGCTAATCTGCTACTGACTCACTTGAAAGATTCGTTATCTCCTCATTCACTCGGCAGAGCAGGGAGAACTCATCTTCCTTGCTCTGGCATGTGTGCAAGCCTCTAGTGCTGCTGATTTTCTCCCCTTCTCTGCCCCCCGCCCAGTGTGCACACTGCACCATACCCAAATCTGCTCCAAAGATTGGGTGAAACTCCTATAACAATGTTAGGGAATATGCAGTGGGGGGAGAGGTACCGCCATACAAGGAGAACTCCTTGCAGAGACAACTGAAAGATTTAGCTTTATGTGGAACACAATCCACTGAACTCTCCTTGCTAACTATATTTACTTATAGGAAGGCTATGTACCCCAAGCTCCAGTTCTGCTGTACCTTTTTGTATAGTATACCAAAAGGGTGCCCATAACATCCATTGGTACAGTGGTGCCTTGCAAGACGAAATTAATTCGTTCTGCGAGTTTTTTTGTCTTGCGAATTTTTCGTCTTGCGAAGCACGGTTTCCCATAGGGTATTAACGGTTTTAAGAAAAAGGAAACAAACTTGCAAGACGTTTTCGTTTTTCGTCTTGCGAAGCAACTCAAAAAACGAAAAACTCTTTCGTCTTGAGCGTTTTTCGTCTTGCGAGGCATTCGTCTTGCGAGGTACCACTGTATAGCGGATTTTTTTCCTTATAATAGTTATCAGTATTCTGACTCCAGCACATTATGTTGAGGTCTTCGGAGAGCTGTGTATGTCATTTCAGAAATCTCTGTACAACTACATAATACTTTTTTTCATAAGCAAGTTATTAGCTTCCTAATTTTATTTTGAAATGTTTAGCTACAATATAAATTATACATGTGTTTCAGATCAGAGGCTTTGAAACTGCTTACTGCATAGACAGCATGGGACATTCCAATGGGGGCTTTGTGGAACTTGGACCATGTCACAGAATGGGAGGAAATCAAGTAAGTAGTCTCAAAGCAAGATCTTTGGAGTGCCAAAAGGAATACTAAAAGATTAAACTTTTGCTTTGGATTTTCCATCGCTGTAAACAGTACTAAATTAGTTGAAGCACAACTTTACACACACACACACACACACACACACAGAGAGAGAGAGAGAGAGCGCACACTGGGAGCTGTCATGTGTGTGAAGTCCACTACTACATTATCACAATAAAATTATAAATCATATTACTGAACCACCCTGGGTTCCTTAGGGAGGAAGGGCAGGATATAAATTAAATAATAACCATTATTTTTAATTGTCTTACATAGGGAACTGTTGTGGATCACAAAAGCTTTGCTGATGGCTCAAATTTAGATACTATTTGTGCTTATTTCTACGTTTCCTCTGCAGCCCCTTGTACCTTCTGAAAATCTGCTTGGGGGATTAGGGGCTCCTATGGAGCAATTTGGGACAGCTTTAGGGAGAAAGGAGAATCACCAAAAAATTCTGCCTCCTCCCCTCCACCAAATGGATCAAAAGCTTTCTGTAGATGGAAAGAAAATGAACCTTTCTGTTCATGGAAGGCTAAGTTTGAATCTAATCCAAGTTGTTATATTTTGGGTATATATCGTGTGTTCTAAACTACTTTGAGTGCAAAGTTTACCCCAAAAAAGTGGTATACAAATAAAGTGACTATGACTACTATAAATTTTAGGATAAAACAATATATAAAAACCTAAAAACACATATATGCTAGGGGAAGTCCAAATCTATATTCATAACATTCATTTTATTTAAAAGCATTTCTAGACAGCTTAATATGTTAAAATCCCCAAGGGGTATACAAATATGAGAGTCTAGCGTAAGCGTATTTCCAATCAGTTTCACCCAGCTAACAGTGAAAAGTTTCCATTGGCAGAATGAGAACGAAAGCATTTTTTCAGCATTTACCCCTGCAGCCTCCTTGTGACTTCTCTAAATCTGCTGCAGAGAGACCTCCAACTCTCTGGAGCCAATTTAGCAGGGTGTTGCTTTGGGAAGAGAGAATTGCTGAAAATTGCTTCCTCTCCTTTCCAGCTCATGGGAGCCTCCTATCAGCTAAGCATGAATACATCCCCATAGAAAGCCTTTCATGATGGGAGTTTCAGCAACATACAACCCCTTTCTTCTCCTTCTACCATCACTTCATACCATAACTGATGAGTGATGTTGGGATTCAGACCAGTAGCCCTGACCTCTGTGATTCATTCAACTCATTACTGGTATTGAAGGCCAGTGTTTGGAATGCTGATGTTTAAATCAGAAGACATGTGTCCAAATCTGGCTTCTGATGAACAATGCCATTTTCCCCTTTTGGCCCTAACATTTGCTCACAGTTCATGTTGTCTGACCAATCCAAAACATATTGTAAACCTCTAAGAGGCTTTATTACAATCAAGTGATATGTTGTTGTTGCTTAGTTGTTTAGTCGTGTCTGACTCCTCGTGACCCCATGGACCAGAGCACACCATATTTTAGTTTTGTTAAATACAGTAAAAATGTTACGATTATTGGTGCTCAGCAAATTTTAGCTCCTTCCAGTTGCACAGCTTACTGTTTCCAAATCAAGAAAGCAATATTGGGCCCACTTACCTGCAGATGTAAACAATACCTCAATCACTGATATGCGTGACCACATGACAGAGCATTGTGATGGACCTTGTGTATCTTTAGGTCATGCTGGGATTTACTTCTGAGCAGACAATGTACTGTGCTTGTCTGTAAAAGTCTCTTGCCTTCAATATACTTCTAAAAAGCAAAAGACAAGTATATTGAATAATTGTAATGTTGCTTCTGAGCAGTATCATTTTTAACATGTCAGTTATTACTTTAGCATTTCAGCAGTTACTGGTATAAAATATATAGTGGTTTTTAATGTTATATTTTTTCCTATTAGTTGTTCAGAATTAATGAAGCCAACCAGCTCATGCAGTATGACCAGTGCTTGAGTAAAGGACCTGATGGCACCAAAGTTATGATTACACACTGCAATCTAAATGAATACAAGGAGTGGCAGTACTTCAAGGTATCTAATCAGTGATATGAATTTTCATCTTCTCTTGTGAGCTATCTGTGTACTGAAGAATCTTATAATTACTTTTGTTGCTTTCAATGATGGAGAAATAAGATTTGGGGATATCTGGCACAGTTCTTTCTTTCAAAAGTATCTTGCTTAGGCAACAGTGCACTTTATTTTATTGTAAACATAGGAGCCATATTGGAGGACACAAAAAATGGAAACTTAAGTGCACAGATGAGATAATATATCTTACCTCTTTGTTGGCACGTTCTCCTCTTCTACCAGAAAACCAATACATCAGGATAGACTAGCCAGGGAGTATATACAGAACTTAATTGACCTCTAGCAATTAATGAACAGACTGTCTCTGAGCACGATCAGGTGGATTTCCTTCCCAGCTGAATGAAAGCAGCTCTTCCACCCTCACCTCAGGTTGGGAGTCAAGATTCACACTGTCTCAGCTATGAATTTAATTTCCATAGAGACTTGAGCCTTAACATATAGAAGGATGGGGGTAAGGGAAAGCATGTTAATAGGATCTGGGCAGGGGGAGAATGAAGGGGCACAACAAGAAGAAGAATTGCTAAACAGGAATACAGAGGGGGCATTAAAATGATATTAGGTAAGAGTGATTGATATATTGTCTGAGACATGACTGGGGCAGGGGAGCAAAGAAGGGTACAGGAAAGAATATTGGAGTAACTGATGGCCTACAGTACATAGGGGAAAAGAGAATGTTGATGTTCTCTTCCCACCACCACCACCTTCCCTTTGTAAATACATTTCGTAACATCTAATAAAAGGTAAAGGGACCCCTGACCATTAGGTCCAGTCGCGGACGCCTCTGGGTTTGCGGCACTCATCTCGCTTTACTGGCCGAGGGAGCCGGCGTACAGCTTCCGGGTCATGTGGCCAGCATGACTAAGCCACTTCTGGCGAACCAGAGCAGCACACGGAAACGCCGTTTTCCTTCCCGCCGGAGCGTACCTATTTATCTACTTGCACTTCATGCTTTTGAACAGCTAGGTGGGCAGAAGCAGGGACCGAACAACGGGAGCTCACCCCGTTCCGGGGATTCGAACCACCGACCTTCTGATCGGCAAGCCCTAGGCTCTGGTTGAATTATGTGGAATTTGAGGGGATGGGAGAGATCACCAGTCCATGCCTTTTGAGCAGTTGATTGCTGTGACCTATCCCAAATGCTGTGGCTTCAGAAACTGTTGTGTCCCTCCCTCTCTCCCCCTCACACCCCCTGCTCAGAAATTTAAACCCTTAGTTATATATGAGCAAGGTTACCACTGATACCCTAATCATCTAATGTGTTGCTATCTGCATTATCTGAAACCCTTTATATAAAGGGTTTCAGATAATGCATATATCAATGCATTAGATTGGGGTATCTGTGGTAACTTTGTTCATATATAAAGAAATAAAATGTATTAATCATTTTCAAGGCAAACCATATAGCAACTGATAAGAACGGTAGTTTCAGTAGGACTTGGATAACTTTTAAGAATTGTCAGATTGTTCTTGGGAAGTAACAGCTTTTTGCTTGCTTCTTGTTTTTGCAGAATCTACATAGATTTACCCATATCCCTTCAGGAAAATGTTTGGACCGTTCAGAAGTTCTACACCAAGTGTTTATTTCAGAGTGTGACTCAAATAAAGCAACACAAAAATGGGAAATGAACAATATCCTTAATGTGTAGACAAAATAAGCCCAGACCTACCTATGACAAGTTTAATTCATATAGGACTGAAGATAGCCTGAAAACTGCTGCAACTATTAACTTCGTACAGCTGCGAGCCTGGAACCTCTTGATCTAGATGAAGGACGTAGATGGACAGTGATAGATTTATCAACTTGCAGTTGATGTTTACAAAAACTGCTCTTACCTTAAACTTTAATAGATGTTTACATCTCTCTCTTTTTTTGTTTCGTTTTTAGGATGTTTTTGTTTTATGGTGCGTTAGTTAATAACTGAATGTGCTTTTGACTTTGTTTCTCTTTTACTAGGAGCAAAGCTAAAAGCACCAACTTGGATCTGAAGTAGCGGGAAGTGGTTTGCAGTCATGCAAAGGGTGCTTTTCTGCACCATCTTCTGGTGACAGCCTCCACCCCAAAAGCCCCTCCTGATGGCTGGAGGAACTTCTGGAATGGCTTTTTGAGTGGCATAAAGGGCTGCGAATTGGCAGCTTCCCATGTGTGCATAAGTGCCATCCACTTGCACACAGGCAGGGGAATTGGATCCAAGCATGTTGTTGTCTTCTTTGGGATTACACTCAGGGGTCTGCAGGCAGTTTTTATTTTTTTAAACACTCACACTTGAAAAAGGTTGGAGTAACCAGACTTTGCTATAACGTGGTGATTATCAACCTGTTGTACGTTGTTTTGATTTTACATCTTACCAAGCACTGCCACAGGTTTTTTAGCCAGGGTGGCCTTCTTTCACAGTCATGCTGCTTTTTTGAAAGGTGAATTTTCAATGTATTTAGTGCCTCTTTAATTTTTCCTCTGTAGTTCACAAGAAGAAGAAAAATCATCATAGAACAAGTTAGTCAAAGTCTTGTGGTTTAAGATATTGCCAAATTTACAATAACACTCCTTATTTCATATAGTTAAGGGCAATAAAATAAGACACAAGTCATAACAGGGATACTGTGAGAGGAACCTGAAATAGTGATGCTAAAGCTTCACTGGAACCTTTGGAAAGAAGGTTGTGGTTAATATATACTTAGTAGCACTTAAATCCATGAGCCACTTGTGTAAAATAGCATTGAAGCAGCTTACATCTTCTGTGTTACAGTATATAGCTGAAACTGAAATTTAGCACTAAGTGATGCATTCAGTGGAAGTGAGCACTCCAAATTGCAACTAAAAAAAATTCAGGCACTAACTTCCCTGCTGTATCATGCCTTACGAAACTTCTGTATATGTCAAAATTGAAATATGTGTACATCTGCACAATGTAGAACAGTAAAATTGATCCAATTCACTTTCCTTGTGATAAATGGGAATCTCAGAACTGGATTAAAAAAAAGAAATCAAAATTATTTTACAAGCACTCAGCATGTAAAGGGATATTGTCAACTAGCTAAAGATCCATATATAGATTAGAAATGAGCAAATGGGAATTGAAGGTGAATTCAAAGGCTCTCTTCCTTCCTCCAAAGAATTAGAATGTTTAAACTTCAGGATTGTGTTATGACTCCAAATTATATAATGACGCCATGGCATGAACAGAAAATGGAAAACAAAGATACTGAAAAGATAAAAACTAAGGGAAAGTTTCTTAAAACATTTGTGCTGAATATTACCCTAAACATGGCGGGGGGGGAGAGAGATAATAAACAATACTGGCTTCAATATTTAATCCAATTCAAAGGCAGAGATACTAAGGTTTGGTATTAGTTTCTGGCCCCTGCTGTACAGTTATGCACACCTGAATTCTACTGAAATCAGCTAGGTTCATATGCATGTGACTCTGCAGGATTTTTAGCTCAAAATTAAACTCGGTGATTTGATTAAATTCCCATAGTATTAACTCCTTGATCTTCACTCAAGCAACTCCTAAAAGTGAGCAATGGAGATGCTTCAGTTACAAGGCCAAATCTTGGTTTAGGTGTAGCTTAGTGTTGTGTTATAACATTTAGTGAACCCAAAACTCTGGCCTTAACAAAGGCCTGCTACATATAGTTTGGAATCTTTAATTATTTCTTTGGTGTTGATCTTTTGGGCCTCCTCTGAAAGGTGTGAATAATTAAATTAGAAAATGGAGGAAGAAATAAAAAGGATAATAAGGGTGTGGGTACATTTTCTTGTTTGTATGTATGAAAACAGATTTTCATTTTCTTTGTTGGACAGAGGTTAATTTAATCACATTACTATGCATAAATGAAAGATTGCACATCGATTGTGCAGGCGCGTGTGTGTATCAAATGGGTATTGTGTGCAATTACATTAAAATCCAATACTGTATGTGAATATGGATCTGTATTTTTAAACTCCAAATCTTACAAAACAACATAAGCTGTTACTCCTAATGACTTTTCCTACTGTAACCTGCTTTTTGAAAAGTAGATTCCATATCCTTGCTTTGTAAGTTGATCACTATGCATTTCTACACATTTTATAAATTTGATTTATGCAGATTTTGATACACTGTATGTTTCTGTAAAGACTGTATAAATCTTCAAAAGTTTTAATAGGGATGAAACTTGGGTATCTTGTGTATATCTTAATTCTGGGTTGCTTGTTTTTTAGGTGAAGAAAATAAATTTTAACTTGTGGGTTTATTATATATTTGCACCAAAAACTTCTTTTTCTAATCATGTTCCTACTGAATCAAAATGCCTTTAGAGAGTGTACGTATGTAGTGCATACGTAATTGTTAAATAGAATCCTTTCATTTTTCTTGCTTGTTCCCTAACATAAGTAAGCAATCCTTACTCTCAGCTAGAAGAGCAGTTAAACTAAACAGAGCCAGAACCACAGCAGCACCTGCAGGTCTGCTTTTTGTGCTGAGTGTGGCAGGTTGGGAATAAAAAAGTTGGGTTCCTGTGTGCCAGCTTCAGCAGAGCAGTCCTGATAGGCCATACCTGAATCAGATTAGCATCCAGTGGATCCTTGAATGGTCCAATTTCATACACAAAATGCCCCATTCCAGGGCTTTCCACTGGTGGGAATACCATTGTTAGTAGCTTCTACCCACCTCTGTCTTTGATAGGTGCAGTGGTGGCCTCAAAGCCTAGATGAGCTCAACAGAATTAGGCAGTGAGATACTACCGCCACTTTCTAACCCCTTATGCTACTACAGATCAGGGGTTAGGATTGCTCTGCTTATCTTGTAGGCAATAGATTATTGCGTGGCGAGTTCCCGCCCCCCACCAGGATAAATAAAGACACGAGACACCATAGCTTAAGGTTAAATGGGCGAATTAGGCCACAACTTTATTGAATTCAGGAATGAGAGGCATTGGCTTAGGCATTGGTCCTAACGACTATCCGGCTCCAGCCCATTTGCTGGAGACACGGGGAAGGGTTAACACTATATCGGGGGAGTCTCCTGCCAAGGCACGTCGACTAGGAGCTCCCCCGGGTCACCGCTCAGGGGCGTGCCTTTGGCCCACACCTCCATAGGCTTCGGACAGGGCCACGCCCCCCGGAGTCCTTTAACGGACCACCCTTCGCTCACTGGGGGGAGGTGATGGCGTTCCTCCCCCACACACATCCTCTTAACCCCTTCTTACCAATGCCTACCGCCAATGCCGAAGAGTTGTGACGAGTTGCTACGAGGTAGGCGAAAAACCAAATGGCTGTAAATTGCCAATTGGGAAAAATTCCTACCATGCCCCATGTGGCGACAGACCGAAGTCCATAGCAAAGTCAGAGACCTACCTAAAGCCCACCTAAAGGGAGGGAGGGTGGGAAAACGTGGGGGCTAGCCGGCGAAAGAGGGCGAGCCCCTCCGTGCCGGCCCTAAATAGGGCAGACCCCCTGCTCTCGCGGGGCTGAAACCAGCCCCCGCTCACGTGGGGGGTGGGCGTGAAGCCCGCAACCCCACCTCCTGGGCAGGCCGGAAGTGGCTTTGCGTGGCGAGTTCCCGCCCCCCACCAGGATAAATAAAGACACGAGACACCATAGCTTAAGGTTAAATGGGCGAATTAGGCCACAACTTTATTGAATTCAGGAATGAGAGGCATTGGCTTAGGCATTGGTCCTAACGACTATCCGGCTCCAGCCCATTTGCTGGAGACAAGGGAAGGGTTAACACTATATCGGGGGAGACTCCTGCCAAGGCACGTCGACTAGGAGCTCCCGGGTCACCGCTCAGGGCGTGCCTTTGGCCCACACCTCCATAGGCTTCGGACAGGGCCACGCCCCGGAGTCCTTTAACGGACCACCCTTCGCTCACTGGGGGGAGGTGATGGCGTTCCTCCCCCCCCACACATCCTCTTAACCCCTTCTTACCAATGCCTACCGCCACACGAGCAATCGCTCGCCGCCAATACTCTCATGCCTGAAACCAATCCCTTACACCCTTTGCTATATCAGTCAGCCACATGTCATTTCCCGCATCTGAAAGATGCACGCCATCAAGCCAAATATCATTTCCCACATCCGAAAGATGCACGCCATCAAGCCGGTAGAGGGCCTCACAGTTGCCCGGGTGGTCAGTGACCCACCCACCCAGGGCTGCCACTCTACGCACCACCGCCCGATCCAAGGCTTTCCTAGCCCTATTTGTGGCTATCGGGCACCTGCTCTCTCTCCAAACCCAGCTTTCCATCAACCAGTAGAGGGCCTCACAGTTGCCCGGGTGGTCAGTGACCCACCCACCCAGGGCTGCCACTCTACGCACCACCGCCCGATCCAAGGCTTTCCTAGCCCTATTTGTGGCTATCGGGCACCTGCTCTCTCTCCAAACCCGGCTTTCCATCAACCGGTAGAGGGCCTCACAGTTGCCCGGGTGGTCAGTGACCCACCCACCCAGGGCTGCCACTCTACGCACCACCGCCCGATCCAAGGCTTTCCTAGCCCTATTTGTGGCTATCGGGCACCTGCTCTCTCTCCAAACCCGGCTTTCCATCAACAAGGCCCAAAGAATGGTGATGTTTGGATAAGAGGCCTTAAGTTCCTCAAAGTCACTAAAGAGATGCCACACCAAGTCAACTGCCTTTCTGTAAGCTCAATCCTTTTCGCCAACTGGATAACTAAAGCATCCGGGGGGGGGCCCACCGCTGCTGCTCTGGCCCTAATTGCGGGCAACATTCCGGCCCAGCGCATTCCCCTCCGATAGATCCAAGATATATTGATGTAGTTAAGGTGCGGCCCGAGACCGGAATTGATGGCGCGGACCCTGGCCCAATGCACAATGCTGTGTCCGATTATCCAGATGCGCGCCCTCATAGCTCCTGCACCCTAGGGTCCCCGTTAACGGCATGGTTTCTATCCCAGTGGACAGTGCAGGGCCTATAATCCAAATGTGCACCACAACGTCACCTGAAAGCAAAAGAAGGTAACGAAGCCAGGTCAAGTATACTGTGAACAATCACAAAGTCTTACGAATATATCCCTTAAATGCATCAGACTTTCACTGCCCCCAAGTCCTTCATCCTTTCAGCTGAGAGTCCCAAATGCAGTGCTGTGGTGACGGCCCCAATCCTAAAGGAGTTAGCCACGAATTCAGCTGAGGATAAACTGCAGGCAGCAATCTCCCTTCGCATAATGCGCGTGGACTGATGCCGTGCAAGGCAGGAGCCATCCAAGTGTATAAGGGATGGACCTGAGACGGATGGTCTCACGTACATGAAATGTTTAGTGTCCTTTACTGCTGATCGGTTCTGGAACATTGGACATGCAGGGCTAAACTGGATCTGAACAAGGTCAGGTCTCTCAAGCCACCCCGGGCAGCGGATTCTGGTTGGCCCTTACAAACCACTTCGCCAATGCGCATAGCGCCAAAGGCAATGGAGTATGCAGCTGAAAATAACCGGGCCTTGTCCTCGGACCAACAGATACTTCTTATTTTATTTTATTATTAATATTTTAATTTTATTTAATTATTTAATTATTTTGGAAATTGGCATAAAATGTCATAAGGGTCTTCTACCACCACTTTTAGGAGGCTGCAGCCTGCGCCAGCCCTACAACAACAACAACAATAATAATAAATACTAATAATAATTTATTATTTGTACCCCGCCCATCTGTCTGTGTTTCCCCAGCCACTCTGGGCGGCTTCCATAGAAACCAAAAATACACTAAAATATCACTCATTAAAAAACAAAACAAAAAACAACAACTTCCCTGAACAGCAGCCCTACGGTGCCCTTCACACTAAGAAGTCCACACCAGGGTCTATGGATTAAACAACCTTACAGAAAAAGAGTCTTTGCTGCACGACCCAGCACCCTCCAATGTACCAAGTATTGCAGAGGTTCAGCCTTGGTAGGTGTGTCAAGCCTAGGATTTTCTAATTTGCCTTGAGGTGTGTCAAGCCTAGCATTCATTCATTCATTATTATTTATTTATTTATTTATTTATTTATTTATATTTATTTATAAATTTGCCTTGGAACTTCGTAAAGTCCAACCAAGCCTTTTTAAAAGATCTACGCGTGGACGGGGCTCCTGGAGCTAATACTCCCTTCAAGACATCACGCTCCCAAGGCTCCAAAGGTGCTCCCGGAATGGCTGTGGCAATTTGCTGCGCCTGAGCATCTGTGATGTCATTGTCAACCCTAGGGGTAAATTTGGTAGAGAAATAGATGTTTAATTCTAAGCACAAAAGGACAAAGGTCCGGGGCAGATCTAGGAGAGTGCGAGAATTGCTTTGACGGGACACTGACAACCGTTTGTCGGTCCAGAAGGATACCTGGTGATTCCTGAACTCGTCAACACGCAAATGCCATTGTACTTTTCCAGGAACTTCAACCCAACCTTCAAGTCTGACTTGACCACTTTAGAGAGGCGCACTCAGTTTTGCGGAGCACGCAGTCCCGCTGACAGCGTAGCCAATCGCCCACAAAAGGGGCGGCCAGGGGACACTACCCAGCATGCAAAGTTGAGGTGACCGACGCGTGAAGTGACGCTGGCCTGGGGTGATCTTCTTGAGGGAAGAAGTTGCAGAATTAATGCTAGCCTCTCCCTTGGTAGGCGGGATGTCTGTGCAATTGTGTCCAATTCAATACCCAAAATAGGTTATGGTCAAAACTGGACCCTATGTTTTGTCTGCCACCAAAGGTACCCCAAGCTCCTCAGCCAGGGAGGTGAAAGCCTCTAAAGGAGAAGCGCAATCAGGGCTATTACTAATGATGGGGGCGCGGAAGAGTTATCGAGGTAATGGGTCACCCCTTCAGAACCAGATCTAAGGCGAAGAGCCCAGTCCAAAATTGTACTAACTGACTCAAAGGCTGCACAAGCTGCTGAGCACCCTATCGGCATAGATTTGTCTATGGAATAAGCCCCCTCAAATCCAAAACCTAGCCATAGAAATTCCTCAGGGTGAATTGGCAGGAGACGGAAAGTCGACTCAATGTCGCACTTAGCCAAGAGCGCCCCTGCTGAACCTGCGCATACGCTTTATAGCCTGATCAAAGGAGGCATACTTCCCAGAACAAGGCTTCTGTGGTATTGCATCATTGACTGAGCCACCTCTAGGGTAGGGTAGGTTGTGGATCATAGGATACTCTCCTGGAGTCTATGGGGGGACAATGCCTAAAGGTGGAATGAGTAAACCCCGCTATAGGTGGCCACCCTCCCGGCCAGAAATTTCTTTAATTTCTTTTTTGCAATAGCTGGCATTTCCCAAACTGATTCTTTGGTTTGGGGGGAAGGGTTCCCTAGTTAGGGAGTAATGAAACGAGGATCTTGAAGCCATAAGAGAAACTCTTTCCCAGGGTACTTTGCTGCCTCTATTTTAGGGTATTTATCAAGAAGGGTTCTAAGAGGTGAGAGCTTAACAGAAGAGAACAACAAAATGCCCCATTCCAGGGCTTTCCACTGGTGGGAATACCATTGTTAGTAGCTTCTACCCACCTCTGTCTTTGATAGGTGCAGTGGTGGCCTCAAAGCCTAGATGAGCTCAACAGAATTAGGCAGTGAGATACTACCGCCACTTTCTAACCCCTTATGCTACTACAGATCAGGGGTTAGGATTGCTCTGCTTATCTTGTAGGCAATAGATTATAAATACCGCATATTGGTCCACCTTATAGGCTCAAGTACAGTTAGCTGCATGAGGAAATTCCTGGAAAAAAGGATCCTGCAATGAAGATGTTCACCTACAAAAGCATATAGCATGATTTCTCTTAAGTGATGTGGCAAGGTTTATGATGCCATTCTTCTGCCAACCTAGCAGTTCAAAAGCATACCAGTGTCATGAGGCAACTTGCCAACTTTTAGGATGCACTCTTCCTCTTCCAAAATTTAAGGTATGAAGACACAGTAACACTGCAAGTCCAGCAGGTCAGATCAGATACCCTTGAGCAACTATGCTGTGCACAAGATTTGATGCAAGTTGTAAAATCCTGCAATAGAATGACTGATTTAAATTGTATGTGGGGATCACATTTTTGAGTGCTCTAGTTGACACATCACTCTCAACAAGTAGTAGCTAGCAGAGCAGGAAACTAGTTCTTTTGTTCTGAACTTTCAATAAAGCATTGAAGTATGGCACACCTTCACCTATAATCTCAAATTCAATCTTACCACCTCATACAGCTTTGTGCACAGAGCAGATCTTATGTAAGAGTGTATGCTGAAGATCACTTAAATGCTATGGCATAGCTATGGCGTGCACCATTGAACTTTTGAAGTGGCGTGTAAAACAGCCATACCAGTAGCATCACCCAAGGCCTAGAGATATTGCCAGCACTATTCACTGACAGAACCTTTAATGGATGCTTTGTATCTACTGTGTCAGTGCAGTAACGAGGGTTAAAAGTATGATTTTCTACGTCAGCCCAGGCTCTGTATTGAGGACCTACAGAATACAAGGTCTAGCTACTACAAAACAATATTCTTAAGTTAAAACGAGGAAGAGAGTTTCCAAGACATGAACCAGTAACTTTGCATCATTAGCAAGCTATGAAAATGTATTAATGTAGTAGTCCTGAAGGCAATAAATCAGCCAAATAGTTACATTTTTCATTTAAAAGATCTGATGTAAACATCAGTGCCAACTAGTCTTGCACAGGGACAGGAAACCTTTTCAACTGTCCATCCCTTTTGTAGGCAACCTTATAGGGGCTGCATGTTTGGCTGGAGGAAAGTGAGTTTTGTACAGAAACTGTTACTTCCCAGCCACAAGAGTGTCTCCGAGCAAACTAAGTATTACTGCAGTTCAGGATCTCTGTTCACTGACTGATTCCAGTCATGCAGAAGCACTCAAGGAGGGCATGGAGCAGATAACGAAGCAGCATGACTTGGAATCTGGAGGCCATTTAAATCCCAGGCCTGAAGTTCCCCAATCCTAGTCTAGAATCATGTAGTCTTTACACCACTACCTATGAAAGCTTGTCTACAAGCAAGAATGCAGTAATGGCTCCTGTACTGCACTATATTGAGGGGTCCCCTAGCTACAATGAGCGAGTTTTAATCTCCAACATCCCCCCAAAAGCTTCTGGTAAAAAAAAATTTTGGAAGACTAATCATGCAATACAGTATTTCTGGACAACTTTGTCAACAGGAAGGCCATGTATCTGATTTATAGGAATTAAGTGTTTCCTTATACAACTATGGACCTGACACACAAGCAATATTTGTAACTTAAAATGGGAAGCCGCAAACACAGAACTCAGTGCAGCATATTTCTAAGCATTTTCAAAAAGGTGCACTTAATGCTAGCCCCCATTAAGCCTGTAGTATGAAGGGAGAAGCTTAGGGAGTTAAGTGGTTATTCCTTACCTTCTACATGTGCCACACTAACCTCAAATCAAGCAACATCCAAAACCAACCCATGGCTGTATCATGCCATTGCTGCACAATAAATCAACTCATCTCTAATGTGGCCAAATTTGACATTTTAATTTTCTCCTACAGACTTTTCAGGTCTGAACTTACACAAGATTTTTCATACTACAAGCCCCACTTCAGAGTACCACTTTAAGAGGCATGTGATACACAGTCCTAGTTACGCAGAGGAACATTTGCAATGCTGTACAACTGGGAGTGGGGAACCTCTGGCCCTGCCCTTGTTCCTGAATAACTATCATCAGCATAGCCAGGGAAGGGAATTGCTGTTCAACATATGAAGGGCCACAGGTTGCCCACTTCTGCTTTATGTGAAAGTTGCTTGTAATTACTCCAGTCTCAAAAGTTGCAACATGAATTAAGTCTAACATGGCTTCTCTAAGTCAGCCTTCTCCAACCTCATGCCTTATTAATGTTCTGGACAAATGCCCTTAAATTCAGAAAGAGTAAACTGTCAAGGAAAATGAGTTGCAGCTCAAAATTTTTTGAGCGTACCAATTGAGAGAAGGCTGCTTTAAGGTTACCTTACCCTTCATGACATTACCACAGGCATATGCTATCATTTCCAACTGTTTAAGCAAATTAACACTACAGTATAGTAACAAGAATAATGTACATCATTTTATTACAAAATTGTTAAAAAAGTAATACAATGCAATAGTATGCAAGACAAGGTTGACTACCAATTTTACTACCATTTTTTTTTAACTCTGCTCAAAATCAAGCTGTCACTGAATCCAAAGAACCATTAAATATGCCTGAACATTTGACAATATCAGCTTTTAAAAATCTAACAGTAGTGGCATTCAGCTACTACTTACATTAGAATACAGGTCTCCCTACAATCACATTACCTATACACAATTCTGTACAGTTTTTATACTGAAGCTAACAATGAGCTGCACTCGACTTCACATTCTTAGCAAAATCATTGACTTTTGAGCACAAAATCTTTACAGCAGCTTTATAACTTCACTCTTCGTCTTCATCTTCCTCCTCCTCCTCATCTTCCTCCTCTTCTTCGTCTTCTTCCTCATCATCATCTTCTTCAGGTTCTACTTTCTTCTTGGAGCCTGCTGGCCTACCTGGACCTTTCTTTCCTGCATCACCCTTCCCCTTGGCACGATATGCTGCAACATCCTGCAACAGCAATGCAAAATTTAGTTTGAAAAAACACATCTGCAGAAAGATAAATTGGACTTTCTTCCCATTTGTTCTTTGGGTTGCTTCCCGACACTTTCAAAACATGCTCACAGCATCTATCACTCTCCCCATGGCAATCATCCTTGCCGCCATGTCTCTTTACAACAACATATAATGTAAGACTATGAACCTTAAAAACAGCAAACGATGCTACTGGAAGACTTTTGCTTTTTACTGAAACCAGTTACTTTTGCATAGTTTTCCGCCAAGGGAGCTGTTCCTTAGGTGGTCTTCTAGTAGTGTTCTCAGAGCCAGTACCATTTAGACTCACCAGTAGAAACTGTACCCTCAGGCTATTTTCTAGGTCATTACTGTACCAACATTAACTTTTGCTAAATAATCAACACTAATTTTCAGTTGGCAATTCAAGGTCCCAAATAGTAAAACCATAATGCACATTAAGAGAAAACTAAAAGGAACACATTACCTTCTCATACTTCTCCTTTAGTTTTGCTGCCTTCTGCTCAAAGGGCTGTTTGTCTTTTGCTGTTTGCTCAGACCACATTTCGCCTAGTTTCTTTGCTGTATCACCAATAGACAAGCCTGGGTGGTCGCTTTTTATCTTTGGGCGATGCTCAGAACAAAACAGGAAGAAAGCAGATCTACAGGATGAACAAGGACACTGTGTCAGACAACTTGGCATGATTTCAGATTAAGGGGATGATAGAAATGTTCCACTCATTTTGAAATTAACTTACATGCAGACCAAAAAAATCATATCTTTGATAAACTTACGGTGGTCTTTTGGGGGCGTTGGGGTCCTTCTTCTTCTTCTTCTCCCCTTTAGGAGGAATATAACTTTTCATCTCCCTATCATAGCGAACTTTGTCACCCTTTGCCATGTCTTCAAACTTGCCCTTTTCTTTTGCTGACATTGTCTGTAGGGAGGGGAAAAATGGATGTTAAAACCACATATATTTAAGGTTTGGGGGCCTTGGCAACAACCATCCACTAAATACTGGGAGCAACATCTCCACATATTATATACGTTAAGAAAAACTACAACAATATACTAGAAGTCAACGATAAGGCAGGCACCATATCCAAACAAGCCAGTTTGTTTTTTCCACTATGCTACTTCCTATTTTTCCAGATTTGCTTTAAAGCCTTTTGTTTAGCTACAGACACTAGAAAGGAAAAAAATGAATTCCTGCCAAACAATGGTTGTAAGAATGAGTTGGGACTTACAGAATTATCATACAACCGATGAGCACAAGCATTTATTACAAGTCCAAGAATGGGCAAAATAATATTCTGTTCCTCCCACAGACCATACAGAAGATATTCCTTTTCCAATACCCCAGAAACTGCCTGGAACAAATATACACATATCTAACATTTATTAATATTTCTTGCTGATTTAAAGTGGGGAAGGCTTAAGTAAAACTACACTGCCAAACCTACAGTTGGTATGTGAACCTCCAGTTCCTTTAAATTGTAGTTTAATGAGAATGTGAAGGAGGCACGGGCAAGAAGGTGCAAACATTAAGACATTCCAGTAGGTGGCCATTTTCAATCTGCTTAACTTTAGCAAATTTGCTTTTGTAAGCTATCCTGGCAATCTGCAAGTCTGTCCCGAAGAGCTGAGGAGTTCAAAGAGTATTATGGAAATACTCAGAACATCCAATAGTTTTCTGTAATGTACTGTAATGAAAAGCATTTTAACGTGGGGAGTAGGAGACACAATTTGGCAAACGCGGTTTGGAAGTAGCTTAAAAATGCACAGCAGCCTTTATTGTTGCAACATTTCAAAGAACTCTCCTTACAAATTTACAGGCGGGGTTTCACCATGCCTTTTTAAAAACATGCTAACAGCCTAGTAAACTTTGAACTTGCTCTATTCCTTCCATCCCCGTTTACAAAACCCAGCCGCTCCTGCAACTTCGCACTGTTAGAAACTGCGGCCGCCGAAAAAAGCTCGGCAAGGGGGTGGAGGAGCAAGGGAAGCTGTTTATCAGGCGGGCCCGCTGGCAGGCCCGACTCCAGCTCCGTTCCCGCCTTTTAAGCCCTTGGGCGGGCGCGAGCAACTGCAACGCGCGCCAACGCCGCTGGGAGGGGGAGGGGGGAGCTTGCTGGGAGGCGGCGCCTAGCCGAGCAACGCCAGGCGAGGCGGGCCCTAGCTGGGCCTGGCCGAGCCGCTTCTTGCTTACCCGCCATTTCTCGGAGCATTTCTTGGAGAAGTCGGAAAAGTTGACCGAAGTGTCCGGGTGCTTCTTCTTATGCTCCTCGCGGCACGTTTGCACGAAATAAGCGTACGAGGACATCTTGCCCCGGGGCTTGTTCGGGTCGCCTTTGCCCATGGCTGCGGCAACGGTCCCTGATCGGTGGGGAAAGCTGGGTGGGTTGCGGGGGGGGGGGGCCGAAAAAAAGAGGGAGGGAAAATTAACGAGTTAAGCAACGCGGAAAAGAGGCAGCGGCCGCTTACAATGAGGTTCGCATTCCGGGCCTTCCTCCCCTCGCGCCCCCCCCCCACGGCCTGTGGCGACACTTTCCCGCCCAAACTACTTCGCCCCCCCCCTCCTCCGCGCCTCACCACCAACCGCTCTTTCGAGGCTTCTTCACGGGCCTCGGAGAGGCTAGAAATTCATTCCTCCCCTCGCGCAAACTCTTTCCTGCCCGAAAAACCCCCGACGCCTTCGCCCCCTCAGCCTGCCCCACGGCTCCCGGGTCGCGTCAGCCCCAAACAGCCCAGTCACCGTTTCTCAGCCGCGCCCCAGAGCTCAAGCCGCCCCAGCCCCGCTTTTCTAAGAAAGGGTGGGGGTAAAAATTACACGTTTGTGGTACTTAGCCCCTCGCCTGGTGGAGCTGAGGAAGAGAAGCAGCGGCCGTTGGCGACGTCGAGAGAGGGGGGTCAAGTAAAACGCACAGATCACCTTCCTTCGCCGCAGTCGAATGGGTCGTTTCCAACGCACTTGATAGCCTCTTGTTTTCCACAGCCCTACCCGCCACAGCAACTTTACCCGCAAAGCTCGCGGCCGGGCCCGCCCCTTCAGCTCTCCGGTTGGCTGCCTGGCTGGTTTGAACCTCGTCAAGCCTCGCCCCCGCGCCTTTCGGAGCAGGCGATTGGCTGAGGGCTCATGCGACGCCGCCAGCAGAAGTCGCTATGTTCGGTCGAGAAAGGGGGCGGGAAGAAAAGAGGGCGGGGGGAGGGGATTGCTTGCGCTTCATACCCGTTGAAACCGGTTAGGGAGTGTGGAGAGAGTGGGATTAAGAGCGCGCCTCCGATTGGAGGGCTTGTAGGGCTGGAGGGAAAAACCCGCAGAAACCCCTGCCATTGGCCAAGGCATAAACCAGGAGTTGCTATTGGTCCGAGGAAGGTGAAATCGCGTGGTTTAAAAATACAAAGGAGAGAGGGGGAGGGGGAAAAAAGTGAGAAAAACAAGAAGAGCTCCAGAGAAATAGGGGGGAGGGGGGAAACATCTGCGGGTGGCAACAGTTTTACTGTGTTTGAGAGGGAAGGAAAACAGCTCAGGCGGGAGCGTATATGAGTTTGTGCTTTGCTCCTTGTTGTAAAGCTGTTGGAAGCTGCACTAGCCTCTGGCTTTAAAGAGAGGGCTGCACAACATTTGCCCTTTAAAAGCGGGTGGGGGCGGGGAGAGAAGTCTTGTCCTCAGTTGTCCATTCAGTCCGACTTCGAGGGACCTTGGGCGCCCAAGTAACCGTGCCCAGGCTCGCCGGCCGCCTTTATCTACCGCATGTTTAACTCAGAAATTACTTTTGTCTTCTGCAAACCTCGCTCTGGCTGGAGTGAGGAAGCGGCTGCAAATTATCCGTGTAAATGATTTGCTGCCTTTTGAGGAAGTACCTCACACGCCTCTTCGCCATTCTTGCTATAGCAGATGTAACACGGGTGCACGCCTTGCTTCTTTCCCGTGTTCCTGCCGAGCCTTGGGTTTTCCCCCTCCTTTGCTTGCTTGAGGCAACTTGAAAGTTTTCGCATTGCCCTCGCCACCTGTTGCTGCTTCTCTTCGCTGCTTCTTCCACGCCGTCTGCCTCATGGTCGCTTAGCCAGCTGTCCTTTACTGTAAAAGTCTGTTGTCCCATAGTCTGGCCAGCGGTGACTGTCCCTCATCGATCCTCTTTAGCCCCCAAGGGGGGTTGGGGATATGGTTTTTGAACATCTCAAAAGCAGAACAGCCCCTCGTCGTAACTTTCGGGGCGGTTCTGTGTATGGGGTGGGCAGCAAGAGGAGGCGCGCACCTTCCTCACTGAACCATAATTGCCAGAATTCATTACTATTGTTATTTAAAAGAAGTAAGTTTCTATTGATTGTAGAGCCTGAGATAATAAGCAAAAATCTACAGACACCTTCCCCCCCACACCCCAGAATACCCTAATCCCTCCTTTCAGTGTTTTACTATGCTCCTCCTCCTTGAAAATTTTCTACAGCTGCCCATGATTGACAGACTCCCTTAAACATAAAGAAGAGGCCTTTGGTACGCACACTTACCTACTTGTTAGTTTTCATTTATTTAGTGGACGTGGACAAGATCAAATATTGCCAGTCCTCTGTTACATTTCAGAATGGATAAAATGTAGATTTATATTCTGGCTGTATGTGCAGTATTTTTTCCCATCATGTGCAAGAATCACATTTAGCTATATTGATCTGCTGTTTGATTTGATGGGCCTAAGGGGCAGCATCCAGAAACGTTGGGAATACTCCAAAGGCACCTGTAACAACAACACAACTACATGTTCCCCATCCTCTGATGAGATGCCTGATAAAGCATTTTTTAAAAAAGAGTCTAGTGTACGTGTTTGATTACAGGTTCCAATATATTTCCCCATATATACTGTGTGGTGATCTTAAGGGAATAGCTCCTCCGAACTGCGTGGAATGTGAATGTGCTGCTTTCATTTGGTACAGTATTGGGTCCCTCCACAAACAAAATGGTTAGATTGTGCTCAAGTGAGTCACAAATAAAGGAATGAGTATAGCGTATATAGCATTTATTCCTCAAGAAACCCATGATCATGGATATAATGTTCTACTCCCCTAAGACAACCTCACTGCTTGTGTTAATCTTGTGTTATAAGACTATAAATTCTAGCAGTAAGGAAGAGCAACTAATGTTGCAACAAGTTCTGATTTTGCTGAAACACAGAAATCAAGCCTGCTTAATTTTTTATTTATGGTAGCACTTAAAGACACAGCACCTGGGTTGGAAGGGGGTGGAGGAGAGGAAGCAGCATTTTAAAAACTGTTAGTTGGTAGTTTAAAATTTTAATGGCTGATCTATTAGAGTACAGTACATATCTAAGTGGCTTTTAAAAGGGGGTAGCAACCAGACAATTTCTCTCATCCATTACATACAAAAGCAAACTATGCTACTGTGCTAGGACAGGGGCTTGTATTGATGCTGGTTGCACAGAAAGGCCTTACTAAGGTGCATAAGGTGAGAAAGGGTTTTACTACTATGTAGCCTCACACATGGCTACTATCCTCCTCTTTCCATACACACTATACAGTGGTACCTCAGGTTACATACGCTTCAGGTTACAGACTCCGCTAACCCAGAAATAGTACCTCGGGTTAAGAACTTTGCTTCAGGAAGAGAACAGAAATCGTGCTCCGGCGGCACAGCAGCAGCAGGAGGCCCCATTAGCTAAAGTGGTGCTTCAGGTTAAGAACAGTTGCAGGTTAAGAACGGACCTCCGGAACGAATTAAGTACTTAACCCGAGGTACTACTGTACCTTCAAAGCACATCCTTTCCCTCAAAGAATTTGGGGCAATGTAGTTTGTTAAGGGTTGCTGGGAACTGTAGCTCTGTAAACTACAGTGTCCAGAATTCCCTGAGGAGGGAAATAATGTACTTTTAAAGTATGGTGTGTACACATTAAGTTTCAAGGGGATTCCCCACCCTGACATATTTTTAAATCACTTAATGTTCTTTTATAGAATATGAGACAGCGGAGCAAGGGAAACTAATTCAACAAGTAACCATGATTTGTGTTCCCTGAGTGGGAAATGATCCATGAATGCAACACTTCCTAGCAACAACTTTTTAGACCACAACCCTTTAAAGTTTCTAGGTTAGGCCCATGCATTTTCATTTGCTGCCTCTTCCTCAACTCACTGAAAACTGCTAAAACAACGATTCATTGTTGTTCATTCCCAAATGGGAAATGGTTGTTTAATATCAGTTCACTAACCAAGATCTTAAACCATGTGTGTTATTTAAGACTCTGGTTAGAAAACTGACCTTAAAGGAGCATTCTGTATTTTGGAGTATTGTCATTTAAGTTAACCAGGATTGGTGGGCTGCTTGGAAGAGGCAAGGGGGAGCACATGTTTCTGACTATTGTTTTCAGCTTCTGTGATCACACTCCCATTAACTGTGCACTCACTGCATTTCCAGTGCCAGGTGTTTAATCTGTGTTCACAGATGTTATCCAAAATGTGTATGTATCCTGCACTTTATTATAAAGTACAGCCTCCCCCGCCCTCAATCAAGTCCACCTGAGCAATTAGCCTCTCCTAGAAGCAGCTGTGAAGGGAGAAGAGGCGTTCAGGGATTATTTTTTAAAAATAATTATATAAGTTGTGTGTGTTTCATATTAATTAAACTCCCCCCAGTATACTAGTGTACTTGCTTAAAAAATATCAAAAGGCAATATGTGTTTTATTGTAGCATATGCATTTTCATATAAATTGATATAATTATGCATTGCACGGGCATTTTGCAAAGAAATAAACTAACATACTCTACATCAAATTAACCAAATAGGTTTTGTCAAGGTATTTGCCACTGGCATAAAGAAAAACATGTTAAGGTTGCAATGCTTTATATATATAATTGGCATATCTCCAATTAATCACAAGTGGGTCTTAACATGCCTAGGATACATAATGAAATGAGTTTGATTTTTTAAATATAATATCTATTAGTATAAGCATTCAAATTTCCTATGCTCCTCAAGTCCTTCACTACTAAATTTTAAAAGTAATATTTAATAGACCTTTCCACTAGGCATTTAAAGGCTATGTGTGAAGAAAACTTTTTGAAGTCCCATCAGATCTTCTTTTTTAGAAGTATTCTACTTTGCTGTACTTCAAAACAGTAGCCCTGGAGCTGTGATTAAAGAAACAGGCTTGCCCTTTATATCCTGGCACTGGGATTAAGCCAGATAGTTTCTTAAGGGAAATAGTTTCATTCTGCCTTTATATTGTGGTTTCCTTCCCTGCAGAGTTGAAGCCATCACTAAAAGATTAGAGTAACAATAAGACAGTAAACTATTCAGAAAGAATCTGTCTTGCAGCAGAAAGTGCTAGCCAACATTTGGCACAGTAGCTTTTGGAAGAAGAGTTATATGGGAAGTGAATATAGAAGAATTAATCTTCATGTAACAGAATGATCTGCTTCAGGGCACAAGTTGCTAAAGAATGTTCCTCTTTCAGATGGTTGGGGTAGAAAACAGGGAAAGCAGAATAAACAAGGGATGAACATAAGCAAATGCTGTTACACATATTTAGGCTTCATCTCAGCCAGGGATGGGGGTTTTAGCACTTACAAAATATAGCCATGAAATGAGGTAAGAAATGAGATTCTGAATTTAACTTCCAGTTTGGCACTCTGATCCTAAATGTAACTTTCTAAACTTATTTGTTTCAATGGAATCTACTTTCAATTTGATTTGTATTTCCAACCTTATTGCTACAACTTTTAGAGTTAACCACCCCACCCCAAACAGACAACACTCAAATGAGTTTAATTCTTGCATGGGCAAATGCATGATTTAAAAGTCTTTGTAAAATTAGTATTCCTAATGCAAAGTAACATTTGAGTGACATCCAACAAGTTTTTATTTTCCTACCAGCACATTGCATTACTAACAACCCTTTAAAATTGTTCAGATATAGCAGCTGGTTAAGAAAATATTTGCATTACTCCTGACAACAGTAAACTCTTGGAAGCATGTGTTCCAGGATGTATACTGACTCTTATTGACTTTCAGATCCAACGCAGACATTGGTTTGGAGTTTCCAGGGAAACATTTGTGCCAATTCTAAAAGGCACT